CACGATCCGCCGAGCGGCTCCGGCTTGGCCTTACCCTTACACGGGCGCTCACCGCCCGGTGTCAGCGCTGCTGCTCATTCTCCGCCGCCGATTCCACCCCCGCCATCCCGAACATGGGTTAGCAAGAGCAATCTACAGATACAATCCCAGCAGCCGCAGCATTCCGGCACCACGCACTCTGACACAACCAGAGACGAGGACGACAACGACGACACTGATGCTGACGCTGACGCTGACGCCGATGCCGATGCGGACGAGAACGGCAACGACAACGAGAACGAGAACAAGCTCCACTTCCGCTCCACTCCACGCCAAAGCCCTCCGGAAACCCTTCTCACCCGCCTCTCCAGCAACGTCAGCACTGAGACCAACATAACCACCACAACCATAGCCACAACTACAACCACAACCTCAACGTCCAGCAGTTTCAACCTAGCCCCAGGACCCCGTCGTAACCTCCACAAAACCCCCACCCCCTTCTCCAGCTCCGACTCCTACTTTCCCCCCCCCCCCAGCGCAAAACTCCGCATGAATCCCCCCTCCACCGCAAACATGCTCGCAACCACCGCAACCATCCGCTCCCGCATCGTCTCCCACCGCGTCAAATCCCCCCTCTCAAGCACAGATACCTCCGGCGTCCCTATCAGCAGCCCCGTGGCCTCAGAAAAATCCCCAACTGCCGTTGCCGTATCTGCCATCTCCCCGGACTATCCCGCCGCTTCTGCCCTAGAGACGGCGACGTCGTGGGACTACGCGGAGACGGAGTGGTGGGGGTGGATCATCCTGCTGGTGACGTGGCTGGTGTTCGTGGTGGGGATGGGCAGTTGTTTCGGTGTCTGGAGCTGGGCGTGGGATGTCGGGGAGACGCCGTATGCGCCGCCGGAGCTGGAGGATGATGCCACACTGCCGATTGTGGGATATTATCCGGCGCTTATCATTTTGACGGCGGTTATGGCGTGGGTGTGGGTGGTTGTGGCGTGGGTGGGGATGAAGTATTTTCGGCATGCGAATATTTCCGGGGAGGATTAGGTTCTACTCTTTTCTGTTCGTTGCATTTTTCTACTGGGATTTTTTGAGCTTGTTGGCTGTTGGGTTTGTGGTTTTGGCCTCTTTGTGTGGAGAACTTGCCCGCCATCCACAGCTATGGAAAGGATGTCTGTGCGAAGTTGCACCGAACCTGCTATATTACGGAAGGGTTATTCAAAGGGATACTAACTTTTGAAGTCCCAAAAAGAACCCGAAAAGGCAAATGAACGACAAGCAAGGCCCAAAAGCCATAATCAAACAAGAAATAAAAACCAAGCTGTGGAATAATCCCAAGATGATTCCTTACGCCTACCCTGCCTGACGACCACACTTCTTAATAATCAATTTTTTCATCTAACTTATCATCGCCATCGCTACCATAATGATTTATGACCCGAAAAGAACACCACCAATAAAGCTACAAAGTCGCAGAGCACCTGCGAAAAAGGAAGATCCAACTGACAAAAAAAAAAAAAAACCCTTCCAAATCAAGCTCGAAGTTGTACCTGTCTGATCTTCTGGTCCAATTCATCCAACATGGGACCATCATTATTATTAGGACCCTGCGTGCCCCTTCTCGGGATCAAACCGGGCGTATCAGCAGAAGTAAAAGCTGCTGATATAGGCGGACTCTTGGAGAGGTTATTGTCCGGAACCACCGTGGTACCCGGTGCTTTGCTGACGAGGCCCTTGGAGACGGCGAATCCGGTGGAGCGGTCATGGTTTGGGTCATCGTCGTAGAATTCGTCAATGATCGGGTGGATAAGGACGTTTTGCTTGTGGATTGTGAGCATTGAGTTGGTGGGAACGGTGACCCAGTTATCTGTATAGATGGCGGAAAATGGAAGGTTAGCGTATTCACTTTGTGTAATGATAATAAAAGACATAGGAAATAATATAGAGATTTAATAGGAGGAACACTCACGTCTCTCAAATGTCAACGGCTCACTAGCCACCAACACAATATCGGCCCCCTTATCATGCCTCTCCATCTTGAAATGCCCCTTGGTCCGACCCTCCTTCCACTTTGTCCCAGACGAAAAATACAAACTTGCCGCCTCATCAGTCTTACTACTAACATACCTCGTACACACAACAGTATGCCCGTCGGTAACCGCAAAATTCAGCAAACTCCTCCTCTCAACATCCATAACCCCACACCCCTCCGGAATCGCCGCAATAAACTCATTGATCCTCCGAATCGTCTTGCCCATAACCTCCCTGAGCAGCGCGTGCCCAAAACCCCCCTCAGGCGCCGAGCTGGGATCAACCCTCCCTTCCTTCTCCATCAGATCCAAAAACAGGGCAAATGCCCACTCGCTATCCGTCCCTCCCTTGACGCCCAGATACCACTTGTCAGCCAGCGAATCCGCCAGCTGCCGCTTGATATGCTTCCACCCGCCCAGATTGCCATTGTGCATCCACATGAGCGTGTTGTGCTGGAAGGGGTGGCAGTTGTTGTCTGCCAGGGCGCCTTCGGTTGTGGCGCGCACGTGCGCGAAGATGAGGGACGAGGTTGTTTTAGAGGCGAGGCGTTCCAGGTTCTCGCAATTCCAGGCGGGGAGGGTGGAGGTGAAGATGCATGGGTCTGGGCCCAGGGCGGGGGCGGTGTAGAAGCCTACGCCGAAGCCGTCGCCGTTTACGGGGCGGCGGGTGTCCTGGTGGGGGTGAAGGGTGTTAAGTTAAGGAGACGACACATTGGCTTTCCGACTTGTTTTTCTTTTTCTGAGAGAGCGCAGAAGATGGGTGACTTACTAGTCTCAGGCGGGAGTCATAGGATTGGGTCAGGATGGAATGGCTTGGTTCTGTTATGAGTTTGCTGAGGAGGATATCGTTTCTTCCTTTGTATACCTGGGTGTAGGGTAGATGAGGTTAGCCTTTGGTCACAGACCAGATATGAACCAGGCGGGGAATTCAAGATTAGGCCTTGAATTGGAATTTGTGTGTATATCTTCTGCAGCAGAGGAAAAGATAGGTATCTAATAAAGGGGGTATGCGTACAAGAAATCGACACATATTGGGAGCTCTCGCGAGCAGAAGCTGGTGGCAAGCAGAGGAGCCGTCTACGTAGGGCGGTCTGCGAAAAAGAATGGCCGGTCTTAGGGGTATAAGGTGGTCGCAGCCGTGATAAGTATATCCCTAACCAAAAGGTGATAATTGGTTTCCGGGTGAAGCGAGAGAGCTTTCCAAGTTATAGATATAGAGAGTGGTGGAGATATTTAAGAGATATTTTAGGGATAGCTTGGAGCGAGCTTGGAGGAGCTTGGAGGGAATCTCAAGAAGTGGAAAGGGGTATCACAGGCAGAACAAGCAGAGCAAAGCAAAATGAACAAAGAGAAATAAAGTAAAGGAAGGATGAAGCAAGCTCACGTCGACTTAACGACACATTTTATATACTTCTGAGCCTCTTTTTTTTTTTCGGGGGTTTGTTGTAATAAATATTTCGATTGACCACTGTAACCCACGTGACCGATGTCACGATGTCACGTGCTTGGCAAGTTGATACGGGCATCTTCAAAGACGAAGACGCAGCTCTAGTCAAATAGCACGTGAACTGGAAATGGATCGACGTGCGATGTATTGTGCGTGGCTGTGTGTGCAGTTTGAAGAGAGAAACATAAATCAAATGATTGAAATATATATCTTAAAAAATAATTGGAAAATGGTTGATGACTATCTACATGTTGAGAGTTTGTCTGCGGGTCCGATTATGTAAAGCGTAAACATCTGTCGGACTTAGCGAGGTCCTGGGGCTGACCTCATCAGAAATCAAGGACTCACTGCGCCATCCATTCCACATAGTTGCCATTTCAGCCCATCCTCTCATTTGCAGACATTACTGGAACCCATCCGACGGACGTTCCTTGCTATCTACCTAGGTATTCTGCAACCCCACCGATGTGTCGATTTCCACCACTAGGCACAGCAAGTACATGACGAAAGCACGATGAGCGGGAGACTCTTCTCCCACGGCGCTGCCGTGCTGGCCAGAAGAAGCCTTCTGGCTCGTCAACTGCACAATATCGGAACGAGGACCGGCAGCCTGCTACGCTCGCAGGGCGCGGTGGGTCTCCGCGGCATGCTGTGGCAACTCCGCGCCAATTGGATTCACAATGTCCCCGTCGCGCGAACCATCTCCTTCGCCCGTGTGCTCCCCAAGTTGGCTCTGAAGTTTGCGAGGATACCGGCGATGTTTGGCGGTGCCATGGTTGCTGGTCTGGCCTATATACAGTACCAGGCCGCCCGTATGTTTGTTCCCTGGTTGTTCCGGCTTTATTGTTGCGATATTAGGCTGTTGGATGCTGACTACGGAAACTTTTTGCTTGTTTATAGAGGCCGGGAATTATGCCCTAGATATTGTCAAACAAGCGGGCGAAACTGCGAGCGGAGTGGCACTAGGTGTCTTCCGCAATATCCAGGATGTCGCTGAACAGACGAATCGGGGGTGGCAACGGACAAAAGCCGGCGTTGAATTGCCAGAGTGGGCGCAGAAGATCCTCCGGTTAAACGAACAAGCGGAATCCGGAGGTGGAGGTTCCTCGGAAGGCGGAGGTGGCTCCCCGAAGCAGAGCAAGGCCGGTGCGGCTGCCGTGGCTGGCGCTGCAGCGGGCGCAGCACTGGACCATGACTCTGACGATAGCTTGGCTACAGAAAGGAAGAATGCGATCGATGACCAGATGATGATATTGACGAGGAAAATGATCGAGATTAGAAATATGTTACAGCGAGTGGGCCAGTCTAACGCGTTGACTTTGCCATCGATTGTGGTGATAGGATCCCAGTCGTCTGGGAAAAGTTCTGTTTTAGAGGCGATTGTTGGCCACGAGTTCCTGCCCAAGGGATCGAACATGGTAACAAGACGGCCAATTGAATTGACCCTGGTGAATACGCCAAATTCTCAGGAGGAGTATGGTGAGTTCCCGGCTCTTGGACTTGGGAAGATTACAGATTTCAGTCAGATTCAACGCACGTTGACGGATCTCAATCTTGCGGTTTCGGAAAAGGATTGCATCTCGGATGATCCGATTCAGTTATCTATTTCCTCTCCCCACATCCCCGATCTTTCCCTCATCGATCTTCCCGGCTATATCCAGGTTGCTGGCCGTGACCAGCCTCCAGAGCTTAAACAAAAGATTTCCGATCTGTGCGACAAGTACATCCAGGCTCCTAATATCATCCTCGCCATCTCTGCAGCGGATGTGGACTTGGCCAATTCTACTGCTCTCAGAGCTTCACGACGAGTTGATCCCCGTGGAGAACGAACTATTGGCGTCATCACCAAGATGGACCTGGTCGATCCAGAGAGAGGAGCAAGTATTCTTGCTGATAGGAAATATCCTCTCCGACTAGGTTATGTAGGCGTTGTTTCTAGAATCCCTCATACAGCAGGGCTATTCTCCCGAGGAAATGGAAACATTACAAACGCGATTATCAAAAATGAAAGTGCTTTTTTCAACAGTCATCCCAAGGAGTTTGGTTCGGAGTCTGAACTCTCTGTTGGAACTACCACTTTGCGAAAGAAGCTGATGCATACTTTGGAGCAATCCATGGCAGCAAGCCTAGCCGGAACTCGCGATGCTATCATCCAGGAGCTCGAAGAAGCCACTTACGAGTTCAAAGTCCAGTACAACGACCGCCCATTGAGCGCTGAGTCCTATCTCGCAGAGAGCTTAGACAGTTTCAAGCACTCATTTAAAGAGTTTAGTGAAAATTTCGGCCGTCCTCAGGTTCGCGAGTTACTGAAAAACGAACTCGACCAGCGTGTACTAGACATCCTCGCGCAGAGATATTGGAATAAACCCGTTGATGACCTTTCCCCACCGGTCCCGGAACCAGATCCTCTCTCTGATCTCCCAAGAGCAGATCCTGAATCTCTATATTGGCATCGGAAACTAGACGCGTCCTCATCCGCCTTGACAAAACTAGGCATCGGCCGTCTAGCGACGACAACTGTAGCAAATGCGCTACAAAACCATGTTGATGACCTCATCGCTTCCTCGACGTTTGCCGCTCACCCATATGCGCAGAAGGAAATAGCAGATGCTACGGCCACTATCCTCAATGACCGGTTTTTCAGCACGAGCGATCAAGTTGAGAATTGCATCAAGCCGTACAAATTCGAAATCGAAGTTGATGATCTGGAATGGGCTAAGGGGAGAGAAAATATTGGGAATGTGTTAAAAGAAGAGTTGAAGGCTTGTGGTTATGCCTTAAAGCATGTTGAAGATGATATAGGAAAGCGGAAATTGAAGGATGTTATGGGTTTTATTGACAAGGTTCGGAAAGGAGATGCAACGATCGAGGGAGATGGTTCGGGTGGTGCGGGCGGATTCAGCGCTGCATTGCTGCAGAAAGGTTAGTAGTTTCCCCTCAACGTCAACATCGAATTTTTTTTTTTTTTTTTTGGTCATCTCGTTCCCGAGACATACATCTAATCCCCAACCCCACCAGGTCGCGAAGCCGTCTTCCTCCGCGACCGCGCCGATCTCCTAAAAATGCGCCTCCTGGCCATCCGATCCAAACAATGCTCCACAAAAAGAAACAAATACTACTGTCCCGAAGTCTTCCTCGACGTCGTCGCCGACAAACTAACCGCCACTGCCGTTCTCTTCCTAAACGTGGAACTCCTCTCGGAATTCTACTACAACTTCCCCCGCGAGCTCGATCTGCGACTGGGCCGGCACTTGTCTGCTTCGGAAATCGAGCGTTTTGCGCGAGAGGACCCGCGCATCCGCAGGCATCTGGATGTTATTCAGAAGAAGGAGATGCTTGAGTTGGTTCTTGAGAAGATCGAAAGTTTGAGACAGTTGGAAGGGCGGAGTAAGGCGGCCGTGCATCAGATGGGACCGGGGAAGGAGAGATCGAAGGGATGGAGGTTGTTCTAAATGGAGATTCATTAATTTTCTTTTTTTCCGCGCTTTTTGTTTGACCCTCTTCTCATTATTCTTTACGTTTACTACACTGCTTCCGGCCTTCCTGTTCACCTTCCCCCCCCTCCTTCTTCTCTATCTTTTATATAATATACCAGGATATTCAGATTGGACTGGCGTCGAAATCAGGAGGGATGTTGATGTGGGCTTTACTTTTTTCTTTGTCATGTTTTGAAAACTTTTCGTACACATCTTGTACTGTGCATCCATCATGACTGTTCTACCTAATGAATGGTGCCTATTTTCACCTGCTTTTATGTATCATCTAGATGAAATGCCTCTTTTTTCCCACTTTCACTTCTCTCTTCACTTCAGATGATGTATGTACTCATCTGAAAAGTCACCTTCAGTTTAAATACATGTTGTAGATTCTTTTTCTTGTGTTGATGATGCAAATTGCCAGTCCTTTCGATTCTATTTACAGTCAGTTATCATCACAAATAAGAGGGTTCAGTTATGAATTTTGATAAAAACAGCGAAAATTAATGAAAAACGTCCAACTTATTTAATAATACAGAAAAACCTTAAAAACAATCCCATAAACAGCTCAGTTTGTCAATATATCAATACAAAATCAAAAACGCCCTCCCCTTCCCATATGCATACGCCAGAACCAAGCGCATAAACCCGCCACAACCCCCATCTTCCGCTCCCTCCAGTCACTCCAACCTCCGCACACTCGACAGAGGTACCTTGACCCCCAAATCATCCCCAATCAACTGCCTACTCTGATTCCACTCCACAGTGCCCCCGACATCCTTAATATCCTCCAACTTCTCACCCAACTTCACCACGGAGAAGCGAATCATGCGCGGATCGAGACCCAGCGTTCTGCGCACGGATTTCTGCACAGCCGACGACGAGTCAAAACGCATTATGAAGTGGTAGCCAGTTGCGTATTTTGTTTGATGTTTTGTGATTGGGCGGGGGAGGCGGAAGGGGCCCCAGTTTGTCAGGCCGCGGATTACGCCGCCACCGTAGAGGATTTGGAGGCCGGTTACGCGGGCGATTCTGGTGGAGAAAAGGGGGTGTGGTTAGTTAGAATAGTTTGTTTGCTTTTTCCTTTTCTGTATAAAGCAAGAGGGTGATGTTGGGTTCCGGGTCTCTGATTTTTAGGGGGCTGATATCTCATGGCGGGCCCCACGTCATATAGAGATGACAGTTGGAGAATTATCAAGAAGAAATTGGCTGCTGGGGTAAGGCGGAATCCATATATACATACTCTCGAACCTCCTGGAGGCTGCCCGGCCGGACCTGTTGCATTGTAGGTTAGTTTGATATAAAGAATTGCCTGATACAGAGGAGGATTGCGTAGGAAGGAGGGAGAGGGCGGAATAATAGAGCATACCACAGCAATCAACTCGTACAACATCCCCTCTAGCTGTCCCGCCAAAAAGCAGGAGATAAGAGGAATCCTGGCTGGGGGCTTTTACTTGTGGTGAAGGTATTTCAAAAATGAGTTCAATTGTCGTATATTTGTATATCGGTACATCTATATAGCTGTATATTAGCTGTGTTCTTTCTCTCGGTGTCTTAAAGCTTTTTTCGGAGCGTTTGACAATGCCAAGCGTCTAGTCTGTTTCAGGACTAGCTGTAAATAGGATATGCCTCCGGTACAACACGATACAACAACCGGTGCGTTTTCCGCGGAAAACCCCCGCTGTTACCAACGGAACTCACAGGTACCACACGTATCATACATTACTTACATGACCAAGCCGCTCTCCGCCCACAAATTGCCAGCAACTGACGCTCGACGCCGACTTCGATATTGTCCTTGACTAGACGACTCTACGGAGGAGATTACTGCGACTTTCTTTATATCAGCCTGGACTCTCCTTTTGACACATTGACCAGTTGCTTTGCTGTTCTCCCATATCAGCCGGTCTACAGTAATAGCTGGTTAATATTCCTGCCCATAATGTCTGCTGCCACCATTCGCATCCTGAATCCCCTCCGATGTGGGCTATGTGCCTCTTTTCCGAGAGTCTCCTCCCCAGCTCTACGCACTGCTTCCTACGCATATAATTTTCGCCCGGCATTCCGGGATTCCAGAAGAGCATTCTCGCGGAGCTCCCTGTGTAGGTTAAAACGTATCAGACTTATATAGAGGTACCATTGGGACGTGGGTGGGTTGCTGACTCTGTCCGGTTTTATCAGGGCAAGCGAAGAAGTATACTGAGCAGCATGAATGGGTGGAGCTATCTGAGGATAGAACGACAGGTTAGATACAATTTTCTTTTCATATGTGTGTTTCTTGGATTTCTATTCCGGACTTTGTTGAACAATTTGGAAATTTAACTGCTTGAATTACAATTTTTAAATACACCAATTCAATTGCCCTCTTACACCTCCAATTCTTCCCTTCTTCCCCCGCAAACAACATCACAAATTACTAATCCCAACAAAAAAACACCCAGCCACAATCGGCATAACCGAATACGCCGCCAACGCTCTGGGCGAAGTCGTTTACGCAGAGCTACCAGCCGTCGACTTCGAGGTCGACGCTGGCGAGACCATCGGTGCCGTCGAGTCTGTCAAGTCCGCGTCGGATATCATGTCCCCCTTGTCGGGAACGGTCATAGAGGTCAACACGAAGCTGGAAGAGTCGCCTAAGATCATCAATAAGAGTCCCGAGGAGCAGGGGTGGTTTGCGAAGATTAAGGTTGTGGATGAGACGGAGTTGGAGAAGTTGATGGATAAGAAGGAATATCAGGCTAAGTTGGAGGAGCAGGAGGTTGATGAGTAGACGGAATTGCGGGGGTTGAGGTGGTTTGGTTGAGGAATTGGGATCTGAACCAGGTGTTTGGGGTGACTGTTAATATTTGACCTATTGTGCTTTTAGATATGTATGAATGTATGCCTGCTTATCTGCTGACGTTTCAACATGTCAAGTTGTTGTGATATAAGAACTCTTTATTCATTGTTAATATTGCACGTGTTGTTGTATTAAAGCTTTAGCAGAGGCGAGGGGGTTATACATCGATCCTCTATGGGTTGTTAGAGGACTGTATTGAATTTAGCATGGATACCACAACAGCAGATGCTGTTCTGAGGCGCAAGCATATAACCTTACGAATCAAAAATATGTCTATCTCATGAAACTACCTGTACAAAGTCCAATGCAATGAACACCAATAGCAATCCCAACAGAATATTTACCACATGCATCCAACCAAATAGACCAGAACAAAAGTACATATACGTAGCAATAGACCCATAACAACCAAAACCAAACCCAAAAGACGGACAGCTTACTCGACAAGCGTTTCCAAAACTATATAGATTCTAAATCGGCGGTAAATTCTCCCGACAAATAGGGCATTGCAGCCTCAACCGCATCCAGCTCTCCAAGCACGTACTATGAAATATATGTCGGCACGGCGTAACCATATAAGCACGTCGACTAAGCAGATTCGCAGCACCCTCCACAACACTGGAGGGTGCAACGCCCGCCCCAACACCGCTGGGAGCAGTGAGGACAGGCACGCTAATATCCTGCATGCATATGGCACAGTCGAAAAGCCTGTTCCTGCGATCCTTATCCTTATCCTTGCCGCTGCTGTCGCTCGCGCTACCCTGCTTGCCATCGTCCCTAGTGACGCTGCTAGGAACTGCTGCATTACCCTCGTCACCACGCAGGTAGCCGATTGGCAATGTGCCTCCGGCTTCGATATCTTCGCTAGACCCAGAAGAAGAGGTGTCTCGGAGAATCGGGTGGTAGTCGTACGTTGGCGGCGCCCAGCCGTGGGGAACGAAGAAGCGCGGGCCAAGCAGGTCCTGTGCTGCGAGGGTGATTGTTTGCAGCCACACCCATGTTGTTATGGAGAGGATGAATAGGGGATCTGGTTTGATGAATAGAACGTTGCCGGGGATGGCGTAGAAATAGAGGAAGGGGAATAGTCGGATGACGCTTTGGCCCACGACGAATTCATAGGTAAGTGCCTTACGGCAGTTTCGCATTACGTTGCGGTAAATCTGTGGGATCCAGAAGGAAAGGTAGAGGAAGGATATGAGCTGGCCGTACATGCGACTCAGGCGCGTTGGCCAGAATAATGCCCATGATGAGAAGAAGAGGAGGACAAAGAGGAGGAAATAGAATCGTGAGTACATGGCTCCCGTATCGTTAGCAGTTGAGTCACTGGTTGTTTGGGTTGTGGGAGGATCCGCAGTTGCTTCTGGGGGCTCATCCTGGTCTGGTGGCAGGATGATGATGGGCGTGGCACCTGTATCCACTGGGCGACTGGTTGTTGCTGGAACTGGGAGTGATTGTTGTGGCCCGGCTGGGCCACCTCGGGAAGATAATGATCGATCGGCGTCCCTTCTCTCGGGGGCTTGAACTGCCCACACCTCAATCTGAAACTTCATCGCTAGGAAGCTGACGGAGAAGAGTGCCAAAAATGTAGTCGCAGTGAGAAGCAGGAACGGGGCTTCTTCATATAACTGCATCAGGATGAATGAACCGAAAAGAGCATCACCCATAGACATCATGGCAATCGTATAGAAGCTGACACGGCTCCTGGTAGATGGCGTTGATGCTTCCTTCATCTGTCTTATCAGTAGGGAGATCTGTGAGCATAGAACAGCTGCCATGATGACAACTAGACGGCCCGCATGTTTCCTGTATTGCTCCCGTTTTGGTCCGGAGAGGTACAGTCCGTCCGACGGAGAGTAAGATGGTGATCCTTTGCTTTCCAGCACGAATCCGCAGTCTGGAGAGAATAGCGTCATAGACATAGTCATCGATGGTGGAGAGGGTACTGGAGCGCCTGCTGGGAAGCGTAGTTCGTCTTCGATCAGTTTCAGCACAGGTCGCTGGGCAATTTGACCATCTATCACCACTGGATGTTGCTGAAGATACACAATATATTCGCACCTTGGCGCGGCAAATGTCACTGTGCTTGGCCCATGAGGGAGGGATGACCAGGGCAAATAATCCACAGGGCCGGTTTTCTTCTCCGCCAAAGTTTCGGTGAGTGACATATTCAGCAACTGACGAGAGAGCTCAAATGTATCGTTGGTAAGAGCGAACTGAGGCAGCGCTGAAAGCCCTGCGAACTTTTCACTGGTGGTGCTAAGAATAATCCCACCTGACGACGGAAAATGCACTCCGAATAGCCGTATGAAATGACTATCCCCCAGCGACTTGTCAGTATACAGTGTCATATCTGCTCTGATTTCCCTTGCACGGGCATCAGCCAAGGCCATGCCCTTCCCATCCTCCTCCTGTAAGTCCATCAAAAGAGTCCCATGGTCCGCAGTTATATTATGAGCAAATTCACGAGTGAAATAATCATGCCTCAGCATGATTGCGGTAGTGTTTAACTGCGGGCGTTTTTCAGTCTCAGCACCCCGCCAGCGCACCCAGTCGCCCCGAATCTTGCCGGTCACATTATGGTATACGGGAATATTAAGTTCGGAGGAATTAAGATCTGACCGAAGTGGTCGTGTTCGCCATCCAATCGGTTGTTGGTCGAGAAGGCCAGAACGTTGGAGGATAGAGTATAGTTGGTCTCTGGTGCGCTCCTTAACAACTGGGAGCAAACCCCATGCATAGCCATCACCTTTGGTCAAGCCTCCTAGAGGAAGCCATCGATCCGAAGCGCTGTCCAAGTCGCCATATCTCGAGCTATTGAGGAGTGACAGTGTCCGCTCCTCTGTTTTCTGCTGGTGGCGCTCCCGCTCGAAGCCGATGGTTGGCGGGCGTGATTCCGGTGCAGACAGCAGGAAGAACAAAAGGACGAAGAAGAGAAGGGCGCGGCGGGTTTCCATGAACTAACTGCAGAAAGTTGAGCCATAGAAGCTCAACCGCATCCAAGTATAGAGTCCATTACCAGAAGGGTCTGGCTGATGTTGACTAATTTGCCTTTTGCGTCGTGTTGAGGGTTAGCGTTGCAGAGATGTTAACGACGGTCGAAGTTGTCGTTGGCAGCTAAGGAAAAGGCGGCCAAGAATGGCGGAAGGCGGAAGCCCTCTTTATCTTAAATAAACAACTCACTTTTTGGCGCAGACATGAACAACATACATGGGATGCATATATAAACAGTTAACCATCTGAAGAAACAAGAACAAGAAACAAGACATGCAAACAATTTGATTGACATATATACTTTACCTGTCAAATGGAGGTAGGGGGATATATGCATTCGATGACTTTTTTTTTTTTTTGTTGTTGTTTAAGAAGGTTTGCTAACAAGATATTTCCGAAATCCGCAGTCTTGTGAATAACCAACCCTCCACCCTCCATTTATTGCTGGATTGCCTAGAGGGTGACATACAGTCAATCATGGCAGACACATTGCCGCTTCCTGTTCCCCCTCGAACTCCTACACCACCTACGGATGACCCTTTGTCAGATCCAGAGGGGTTTATGGTAGTGCGGTCAATGGACGCCTTTCGCGACAGAGATACTTTGTCTCCAATGGTAGACAGCTTCACTGCGTCCGGCACCCTAGGTATTGCTTGATACGCCCCCGCGGATATTCATTAATGCTTGTTACCAATCTATGTGTTTCCCCCAGATCCGTCCCGGAATACGACGAATGGGTCATCCGAAGACATGCAAGGGCCTTTTAATTTCAAAACTACAACCCTTGCGAAGAGCCCTGTTACAAAATCGGTATGACATCAACCCCCTTGACAGTTATAACCCAAATTTAATAGCTGACCGATTACATTGAAGAACATGGGCCAGAGACGTGGACACAAATACAAACATAGCAGCGTATCGCACCAGATATTCCTCGAACCCCCACCGAGGTCTCCAATGCCTTTACCAAATTCTCTGCCTATTCCAACATGGAGAGAATGCCTCGGGAGCATGTCCACCGACCAGAGAATCCGGTTTTGGTGGAGTGTATGCCACATGGCTGTAGCTGGATACACGCTAGGGACTGCCCATGGCTCTATGACAATGACGGGACTCTCACATCTTATACTCTTCGACTCCCTGGGTGCCATGCTCTGCGTCATCGTCGACGTTCTAGGAAACTTCGAGGTCTGGAAGCGGTCCAGTATTCGTCACCCTTTTGGCCTTGAACGTGCAGAAGTCGTTGCAGGATTTGCTCTGTCCGTTCTACTGTTTTTTATGGGAGGGGACCTCATCTCACACATGGTACAACATTTGCTGGAAAATTCAGGAGGCCATAAAGCGCACAAAACCCACTCTAATGAACGAGTTTCGCCAGGCACTGTCGATATCACAGCTTTGCTAGCCGTACTAGCTACGTTGATATCTGCAATTGCTCTCAAGAATCACGCAAGGATTGGCAAGGCTATGCAGTTTGCCTACATCGAATCGTTGCCTTCCATCCTTAGTAACCCGGCGCATTTTCTAACACTTTCATGTTCATCTCTTCTTCTCCTGCTGCCGCTATTATCGATTCAGCTATATCTTTGGTTGGACCGAGCCCTCTCGCTCACTGTTGCCATTTCCATGTGCGTTTTGGGTGTTCGTTTGGTAATGGCACTTGGATCCATGCTTCTGATGTCTTATTCCGGTTCTGGGACTTCTTCGGTTCTGAGAGATATATCCACCTACCCTGCTGTGATTGAAATTGAAGAGGCAAGATTTTGGCAGGTTCACTACGGCTTGTGCATAGCATGCATTAAGCTGCGAGTGACTGGCTCTGACGAAAGCTTAGCCAAGCTGCGAGAGAGAACAGTTAGTATGATAAGAAATCGCCTAGGTGGTGGATACGGCACGGGTGGTCAGAAATGGGAGGTCTCTTTGCAGTTTAATGTTGGACAGAGTTGAGAGCACCGTCGCCCTAGTTTATATTTTACTATATACCCTTTGATGTAGTCGAAATCTAACTATAACGACATTGTCTGAAATGTCTTGTTTGAGCTGTCCTCGCTTTTTCTCCTACTCTGTGTTTACTCTACTACAGACATATTTGTTATTGTTCCTTGCAGCTGAGGATCGTTGACCCTAGTTCTCCTGTGTGGCCTGGTAACCCCTTCTTACGATTGTAGCAACCCAGAGTATTCTGAACTGACCCAAACACGAATGCATAAAGGATACCATAAAGGATACCTCTGGGACGAGGAATTGAAGGATTTTATAGAGGTTTGAATTGGTTTTAAATGACTTTAATTTTTCTTTATTCCTTATCATGTACAATACACTCCACAAATCTAGGAGGCCATTCCCTGCAGATGGCGGATGAAGGCGCTGTTTATTGTAAAACGTGATGCTGATGAAAGACTCCTCCATAATAGTAAATCAAATAGAAATATTTTATACATCCGCCATCTTCCGTTCCTCTTGTGTCACCCAAAGGAATACCCAGAACCTTTTATTTATTATAGTCGATTCGAACCTCGTCGCCCCGTATCACACAGTCGGATTCGAGATATAAGTAGTTATTCTTTCAATTGTTCACGATGAGGTTGCTAAAACATTACTCTCATCCGCAGCCTCTCTCTCTGCTCTCCGTTGCCGCTTTTCCAATAAACTCTGTTTTCGCTCCGCCAGGATGGCCAGCTGTCGTTTATCAACGCCCTCGAGCCAATATCCGAAGCTACCTCCAACGGTAGCGAATAAAGGATACACCCATAGCGCTTGCTTTTGGAATAAAGGACGCATTTCGATACCGAGCTGCCAGAAGCGGACGGCAATGCCTGTAAGCACCCAATTAGCATGTTTAAGGAGGTCAATTTGAAGGATGATTATCTCCAGCAAACGACATGGAAATGGAAACTGTTGTCTTCGTGGAATTCATGCATTTATAGATGAAACACGAAGCAGCTAGATTCGAGCTACAATGAAGGGAATGCCATACCGAAGCCGCTCCAGAACAATACTTTGTGAAGAGGCATGGTGAATGTTGTTCGGGATCAATGGGCAAATGCCGGGCGCGGGAATCGGGATCACTGAGAAGGGTTATTCCGTGGTCAGGTTCCAGTGGTAGACGTGCCCCTCGCGTCTTAGGATCGAAGAATTGACCTCAGAGACTGTGTACCAGGTGTCTTGTTAGACGAAGACAATTGTCCTTCAGTATGTTTCTTGTCGCGGGTTAAAGTGACGAAAGGTTCAATTTGTTGATGTTGAAGTTCGGCGACAGGAAAATCTTTTTGCCGAGTAGCGATTATCAACCGTCGTCACATTTCGCGATATCAACCAACAGCCAACAGCAAGTTTATTCACGACAGCACGCGGGAAGTGTTTATGGGAGCGGGAAACAGCTAATCACAATTTGGTCATGTGAGAGCCCTCCGGTGGATATTTGGATACCGTCTTTGTATGGGCTAGCCATCATGGCAGGCTCAGATGTTGAGATGACTGGCGTGAAGCGACCAGCAATCGATCTCGAAAATTTACAGCGCAAGAAGTTCAAAACGTCAGATCTGCCTTTATCCGCTGCACAGCGAACGACGATCGATGGCCTTCTCTATGCATTTAAGAAAAAGGGTGGTTTCGACTCGGTTCGAAAGAAGATATGGGCTGAATTTAGTGAGAGTGTGAGCATCTCGATCTCTTTGCACGCCATTCCATATCTCTCTACTGCATCCAAGGAGGTTTTCAAATGCCTAAACATACAGCTAACTCCTTCATGTTCCCTTGCCTACAGGAAGCCAAAAATTCTCTTACATCATCTTTGATTGAAATGGCTGAATCTGAAATTGACCGCGATCCCTCCCTTTTGTCGCGTGAAAGAGGAAAAGCAGCAACTCTGATAGAGGGTGCCGTCGATCGCAGTGATCTTTATAAGAACGTTGAAAGTGCTATCGATGCGATATCCTCTAGCCATTTGGACTATATCCTTGACTCCCTACGCAGTATCAGGCGACAAGAAGTTGGCGAAGAAGCGGCTGCTCTTGAGGAGGAGAGGGGTAGCAGGACAGACGAACACTACGAACGCGAAGTCAAGATTAAGCGGCAGGAAAGAGAATTAATGTGGCTGAGAGAACTTGAGAAGCAGAAACAGCTTGAATTGGACATGGCTAAGGCCAAGGCTGAAGAGCTACGGCAACAACGTGAGCTTGAGAAACAGAGGGAAGAAGAGGAACGGAAAAAGAAGCTGGAGCTGGAAGAGAAGCGCCGGGCAGAAAGAGAAAAGATTCGGGAAGAGAGGCGTCTTTTGGAGGAGCAGAGGGAAAAGGAGAGAGAGGAGCGTTACGAACGAAGAAGGCGAGAGCGGGAAAAGGAAAGAGAAGAGGATCGTGAGAGAGATCGTGAGAGAGACCGTGAGAGAGACCGTGATCGTGTGAGAGATAGAAATAGGGCCGAATCATCATCTCGACATTCCCGACACCGTTCCAAGACCCCGAAAGAGCCTACACCTGTGATCGTTGACGAGAAATCATTGGAAGACGCAGCGTTGGAGCTACTCCTGAAAGAAGGGAAAGAGTTGGCTGAAAAATCGCGCCAGAAACCAGAGTTCGACTTTGAGCAAGCTGAAGCACTTGAAAATGCACAGGCTCTGCAGCAACAGCAGCCACAGCAGCCACAACAACAACAACAACAACAACAACAACAACAACAACAACAACAACAACAACAACAACAACAACAACAACAACAACAACAACGTTCTCGCCAACCTTCAGTAACTGATCTGAAGCTTCCTCGCGCGGATCAGACCCGTACACGTGTCGTGCCGTCTCGACTGAAAAATGAATTGACTCCAGCCTCTGAACCTTCTAAACTTAAACGTAGCGTAAACGAGGATCGTCGTGAGAGGGATAGAGATCGCGACCGTGACCGTGACCGTGACTACGAGCGAGATCGTGACCGCGACCGTGACCGAGACCGGGATCGACGGCGTGATGATCGTAGCAGGTCCAGAACACGACGCTCCTCACGATATGACGACAGGGATCGTGAAATGGATCTGTACAGACCTTCAACCCGGGGTAAATCGGATCGAGATGAACTTTCTCGCACTCGTGGAAGAAGTAGACATCGCAGTAGGAGCCGTAGCAAATCTCTTGCACGAAGTGGCGAACGAGAAAGGGATAGGGATAGGGATAGGGACCGAGATAGGGATGAACGTCGCTATCGCCCCAGGGATTACTCACGAGGCCGTACTCGATCTCGGTCAACTAGGCGTCGACGGCACTCACAATCCCATTCCCGCAGCCGCTCCCGCACTGCTCATCGGGCTCCTGGAGATCGGGGATGGGGACGGGATCGGGACTGGGACTGGGACAGGGACAGGGATAGGGACAAGGATAGGGATAGGGATAAGTCTTATTCTCGCCCTGACTGTCGATCCAGGTCTCGAAGTCCACCCGATATTGATCGCTATGTACCTCCTACTAGCAACCGTAGTCGAACACCAACGAGACGACGTGCGAGAACACCGGATCGTGACCGAGACCGTGACCGGGACCGTGATCGTGATCGTGATCGGGATCGGGACCGTGATAGAGATCGTGATCGGGATCGGGACCGTGATAGAGATCGTGATCGGGACCGTTACCGAGATATAGATGACCGGCCTAAATTTCATGAAGTTGATCGATACATTCCTGGAGGTTCTGGTAGTGCTAGCGCTACAGCCATTGCCGAAAAGGATGATCGGAGGTCAAGTAGGCGGAGGAGCCGGAGCAGGTAATAATGCGTTAAACTTTGCTTCTTTTGTATAATATTCGTGTATGGATTATGGATACTGCTTAGAGTTGGGGACGGGGATGGGGACTGACGGAGATATTGTTTTTTCCATGTGTTTTTGACTCTTCGAGTGAACGTGTATGGTTATTGGGATATTGTTATTGGGATAAAGGAGACGCCAGAGCTTTAACTCTTCATCATCATAACAAAGCTGTGTCTAACAACAGTTGCCGTTTACCATTATTCTGTTGACTTCCAGAAGCCTTCTCCATCCTTGATGACAGTGGAGAAGGCAACAGATCTTCGCTCTCTACAATTGCCAAATCTCTATGCGCCTCGGAATAGACTCTGAATACATCCGAAATTCCATTGGTACATAGATATATTGCCCTATAATATTTGAAGCCAACAAAGTGAATATGGAAATATATGGAACGGAGTTGGGAAGTGAAATTTAACAGGGAATTGCCTAACTTAGCGAGCTCCATAAATACCGGCCAACTCTATAGGGGATATGGTACGGAAAAAGCAAGGGAGCCCGAGGAAAAGAAACTCCATGTGTTCTGATTTCTATTATTCGTTACTGTGGAACAATAATGCCCTTGTTGTTCTTCGAGAGGATAAAGCCAGGAAGCAGGAGCCGAATAATAAAGGAGAAGAGAGAGTCAACGGAGTTTCTAATCATTGTCGAGAGCCCAGATAAGGAAAATCATCATCTGTTTAGACATATACAGCCCTCTTAAATGGCATAATAAAGAAGAGAAAACTAAAGTTGGTTTAAGTAACAATAAATATAAAAATTTCATCAATACCCTCCCACGTACATTCATCTAAGCCCTCCTCCACATTTCAGATCATGTTGGCCCCACGAATCAATGATAACAAGATCCCTTTCCTACCATGACTCCGTTTTATCTTCGCTATTGCCCGTGGAGCCATCCTGTGTCTCTAGCGCGGCTTTGTAGCCCTCGTGCTCGTCGTGGCGTTTGTAAAAGTACGACTGTGTGGATGACGGCCTTAAATCTGGGGATAGTCGTTTTATGATTGTATCTTCGAGTGCTTTGATAGCTTTGGAATTCGATCCAGACTTGTTCCATATGGAGATTAGATGCGAATTAAATCGCACGGAGGTGGAGACTCCGAGAACGTGATCGTGCTCTACGCTTTGTCAGGATATGGATTTTTTGGGGAGAAGGTCCTCTGTTCTTTTCTTTCATCTCGATTTCTTATACGGGAGGATGCACTATAGATCACAAATAGAGGGCACAGGAATGAAGGTGCTTTTATACGTACCAGCTTCAAGCGCAGCTTGGAACTCATTAGCCATGCAGAGGATCGCAATTTCATGGAAAAAAGCCTGGCTTTTCGCTTTCGGCACGCGGAATGTCCAGCACCCGCCTTTGAAGTTCTCTGGATCCTCCCATACAGGTTTGGTGCCCTTGCGGAAAATATGAACTGTGTCTCGCAGCTTCACTTTATCCCAGGGGTAATTATTGTAAACTCGGTAAAAAGTACCAATATCCGCGACGTCTTCGTGAAGAACAAATAATCTCTCGTCGTAATTTGCCGATTTTGAGTGTTTCTCGTACCAGACTGTCCAGTGGTACTGGAAGGGCAGTGGTCGTAGCTTTCCTAGGATTTTCTGGTGCAGGGTCTTTCGGGATATAGGGGGGGTTATGCTACTTCCATCCTTCGCCACCGGCTCTGCGTTGGTACCTAAGTTTTTGGGGATGTTCATTTTGGCAGGGGAAGACAGAGAGCAAAGATCACGGACACTCTTCTTTTCTGGTTTTGGACCTTGTCACTTTTTGCGATAAAAAGGTATGCCGGATTGGTTGAACTGAAGTAAAGAGAGAAGAAGAATAACTGGTCGATTGTAGTTGAAGGACCGCTCGCTCTGGGAGCCACACCACAGTATTTAATGGAAAAGACCCAGAAAATCTCCTAGCAAAAACAAAAAGGGCAAAAAATTGGGTTCACGTTTCTCCCACAAATTAGCCGGGGTAGTAGCTGGTTTATTATGCTATGGATTTTCGAAACCCGATATTGTGTCAAACAGGACCGGAAGGACCAGCTTGTGGCGTGTGGGAGAATGTATTGCTTTATCAATGATATTCGAGAGATCCTAATCCTCTGTATGTGAAAGGCATGTTAATGCAACATATCTCGGCAGTATCCAAATAAATAATTCAAGGCGACAAATAAGGACCGGCCGAAAAGGGTACGTAAGTGACGATTCCGTCGTAAACAAAGGAATTGTACAACCGCTTTAACCTAGACTTTTGGTCGGGTTTGAAGGAGTTATGGAAGAAATAACAAAATATCAAACGGGCCACAATTGGCGCTCAAGATCATGATTGGGGAAAATAAACATGTATACTCGTTCATAAAGTAATGGAAAAATGAGTGGGCTCAGGGTAAAACTTGTAGTCTGTCCACCGAAACCATTTGTTTCGCAGGGAGGCGGAAGGCAGCAGAGGTTCCAAGGAAGAGATGAGATATTTAACTAGGTAACTATGTGGAAGATGAAGTGATCTGTCAACAAATTTCATACAGCTAGTTATCAAAGAAATAAACAGATCCTAAAGCAGAAAATACTAAAACTTCGAAGGAGATTCCCTAACATAACGAGGGCCTGAAGGTAATTTCGCGCTCTGCCTTGAAAACAGCACAAGAAACAGGAGTCGTATACCTTTCTTCGAGTCCTCAATAGCAGTGCGCCTATTGAGTAGTGCGGTCGCTACCGAGCTAGAGACTGATTTTTCAGGGAGCCGTGGTAGTTATGTTTTGCATCAACGTGCAAGCCCACATACAACGACGAGGGCACCAAACACACTGATCAGCTCAACAGTTGCATTGATCTGTGGAAATTCAGCAAGCTGCAGTCCGTTATCACGCTGAACATGATCTGTCTGTTGCTGGATTCTCTACGGAGGTCATAGAGCCGTCATACTGGAGAAGCCCCACGTGATGGCCTGCGAGGCCCGATCGAGGGGCGTGTTTGGTGTGACGGGATTCTTAGGCTGTAGCATTAGCTGGCGAATCATAAACGCTAGCACCCGTCAGATCCAATCTTTGTGAAACTCCGAGAAACAAGAGGTGAAAGGAGATTTAACCCTGACTGAGAAACTCGATCAAATTCCAAACGTCAAGAATTACTGCTTTGGGCCCGTTGTAGTTAGGGTTTAGGGTTTGCTATTGTCAAGTCGGTAAGTTTTACTAGTTATCTGTTATCTTCACGTGCCTTTTATGATAAACAACGTCCAAACCTTTTTTGATATACAAGATTTAAAAGAGCGTCAAAATCGAACTCCTTTCACTGCTACTGCAGATCAAGATCAACAAGAAGATTTCCCATGTCTCTATGCGTTTGATCTCTAGACCCGCCCACCAATAATGGCTAGCGGTGTCGCTACACCGACTAAGAAGCGGTTCTTTGAGGACGAGCATGAGCATGATGAAGCATTCCAGCCAGGAGGCTCCCGGCCAAAACGATCCAAATTCGAAACAACTTCTACAAACTGTGATTCCACAAATGGTACCTCGTGTGATGAGTCCAGTTGGGGCAGCGATTCTAGTGGTGAAGGCGACGGTAACGGGACCGTCCTTCAAGCTTTAACCCATCGGTATCACGCTCCGATCCGAGAACAATTCAATGATGAAACTTCTTCTGACGGGGAAACCGTATCATCTACGTCATCCTCGTCCTCATCAGGTCGTGATTCTGAATCAGAAAGCCATGGCAACGTAAATAGATCCACAGCCAGCAACATCGTTTTCCTTCCACGACTCGAGCCTCGCTCCAAACCGACAATACGTCGATTTAATAATTCCTCACTGCGAAATAAACTGGCTTCCTTTCTCCCTGAATTGAAAGCTGCAAACAAAGACTTGGAAAAAGAGATTGCTGCGGGAAATGTTGCTCGTGTGGAGCTTGATCACAATGAGGATGCTGAGGTTGACGGCGAGTATATCGAGATGGTGTGTTTTCTTTCAACCACCACCTGCCATTACTATGTTTTCTCCAGCTCTTAAGGATTTCTCCTCTTCCCAAGTCGTGTAAAATATGGAGTTATTGCTGAAGTTCCGCTAACGCTCTCATATCTCCTAAAGAACCTTGGCCTAGGTGTTCTGGAAGAGCAAGCAGATGCCACTACCTCCGATACCAACACCGACAGTGAAAGTCCCGTATCAACTGATGGAGACAACAACTCACGATCCTCAAGGGAACATCAACCAAAGCCACGAAATAACACGAATGTATTGAACAAACTCATGGGGAACAAACCTGATATGAAACGGCCAACCATAGAAGAGCTTCCGTCCTGATAATTTGTTCTATTTTGCGCACGACAAACGAGTCATCTTTGGCTTTTATAGCCCAATGGTTCCGTCATTTGACAGCGACTATAATCCTGTCTTCGTTTGGCCCAAACGATTTGGCCGTGACAATACTGTATTTGAAACTGTTTATCGTCCGTTGATTAACATTGCTAGCTCTGAAGCTACTCTATACCCCGATGTTCTCCTAATGTACTGCGGAAAATCCTGCAGAGCGTGGGGTTGAATAATACTAGAGATCGCTGGCTCTCTTATCTCCTTGCTTCGTTCAATGTTCCAATATCTGAGACCCTTTGGCCTGATTCGGCACAATCCACCATGTCTCATTCTTCCCGCGTCAACATGAAATGTAACTTACTACGGTTAGCACCGCCCCACGATTGATGTCAGTGATCTGACCAGATCAAATACTTATCCTGCATTCTCTATGGATAGCGCAACAAGTCTTGTCGACTTGTGGCATCAGCGTGCTGCCAAAACCCGCATTCACCACCACACATGACATGGCGTTGTGTAATGGACTTGTCATTTTTTGTTGACCATTGATTGGCACCGAATTTTGAATATGCATGCACGTATCATTCTTTCCATTTATATAGGTGCTGGGAACCAGTGACTTGAAAACGCCAACAATTTTTATTTTTATTTTATTTTATTTCTTGCTCTTTTTTTCCTTTGTGGGAAAATGCGGAAGTCTTCCTTGGGGCGGAATTGCAAAATAGCCGCGGTGCCAGGGGACCCATCCAACCTGCCCCAAGCTTGCTGGGTATTCCTCGTTGATATCTCCACGTTTCCTCAGTGACAGCATCAACGAGAGTTATACTCTTCTTACTGGCTGGATCCGATGGCTGGTAAGCACTCTTTTCCGGCGAACAGACGGAACTATTCCATTCCCCCGCTTCTCCCTCTCGACAGCGCCCGTTCCCTTTTTCGGTATAGGTATTCTTTCTGTATATAGAGCGGACGACAAGTCTCGGCTCACCAGAGAAATGAAAAGAAGAAAGGGAAGTTGAAATCTGGGGGGAAACCCGGTGGAAATCAAGGAAATCTGGAACCTCTTGAGATACCCGTCAAAATGGCAATTTTGGAGATATTCACATATGCCATCGATACCCTCCGCACTCTCTCAACAAGCACGGCCATCGCATTCTCGGCCTTCTCGATCCCCAATTATTTACCTCGTGGCCAATGAATTTGTCCGCTCAGCAGCCCGTGTGCCAGGATTTAATGGGCCCAGGGGACTTCCAATAATAGGGAACTTGGCAGCCATTAGGTTTAATGCGGCAGAAAAATATCGTCAGTGGGCAAAGCAATATGGAGGCGTCTATCAGATACAGCTAGGGAATATACCAGTTATAGTTGTCAACTCAGCTGCGGCGGCAAAGGTATTGTTCGGGCAAAATGCGCAGGCTTTGAGCTCCAGACCTGAGTTTTATACATTTCACAAGGTAAGGTGAGGAGAGATAGATGAATATCATACTTTGTTATTCCATTCCTTGCCTTGGCCAACAATGCTAGAATCATAATTTCAGGCAGCTTATATCTTACAGATTGTGTCAAATACTGCCGGGACTACAATAGGGACGTCCCCTTGCAACGAATCCCTGAAACGTCGAAGAAAAGGTGCTGCTTCTGCACTGAACAGACCATCTGTTCAATCATACGTTGGTCATCTGGACCTTGAGACCAAGGATTTCGTGTCCGAGTTACTTAAATATGGTGACTCCGGGAAAACCCCAGTGGATCCCATGCCTGCAATTCAACGCCTCAGCCTAAGTTTGGCCTTAACTCTTAACTGGGGAACCAGAATGACATCCCAAGAGGAAGAGCTTTTTCAGGAGATCACCGAAGTTGAGGAGGCTATTAGCAAGACCAGAAGTACAACTGGTAACCTGCAGGATTATATTCCGTTTTTACGTTTGAATCCTTTCAGTCGTGGCTCCAAGATGGCGGCGGAGATGCGAGATCGTCGAGACAAATATCTGGCATATCTGGACTGCGGGTTGAAAGGAGCGTATGGCGAAAAATTCACACCAACCGTGCATCCAGGCTAGTATCATGCTTGATAAAGAAGCTGTATTGAACGACATAGAACTCACTTCTATCAGCTTGACCATGTTGTCTGGAGGCTTGGATACCCTGACCGCTCTAATGGCCTGGAGTATTGCCCTTCTCGCTAATCGGCCTGATATTCAGGAAAAGGCAACGGCTGCAATCAAGGAGATGCACCCAGAGGATGTGCCTCTCTGTCCGGCGTCAGATGACCAAGGCTGCCAATATATTGTCGCCCTCGTCAGGGAGCTTTTAAGGTATTGCCCCGCCGGCATCAGTTTTCTACACCAAGTTTATTCATCGCTGATTTTTTGCTATCCTACGCCTATAGATACTATACCGTCCTCCGCCTCGCCCTTCCTCGAACAACCATAAATGATATTGCTTACGAAAGAAAACTCATTCCCAAAGGGGCCGTCTTCTTTCTCAACGCCTGGGCTTGCAACATGGGTAAGCCAGCCTCTCGTATCGTATCACAGATTCTGATGAAGCCCCAAACCCATTTCCCAACAACAACAACAACAAGAAGCAAAAAAAAAAAAAAAAAAACCATTGAAGCTAATTTACAAACCCCTCCCTCTCCGGCGAAACACAGATTCCGATGTATGGACTGATCCTGAAGTATTCCGCCCTGAGCGCTGGTTCGAAAAGCCCGACGCCCCAATTTTCACGTATGGAGTAGGCTATCGGATGTGTGCCGGTTCTCTAATTGCTAATCGCGAGCTGTATCTGACCTTCATCCGCATGATCAACAGCTTTCGCATCGAGGCGTATGACAAAATCGACTGGCACCCTATTCATGGCAACTCGGATCCAACCAGTTTGGTGGCTATCCCTAAAATATATAAGGTGCGCTTTGTACCGAAGAATAAGCAAGTGCTGGAGGAGGCGCTTGCGAATTTCAGGAATACGGGGGTTTAAACCAGGAGCCAACGTACCCACCCGGTTTGGGGAGTTGGCAAGGCTAGGGCTTTTGCGTTTCTGTGGTATTTAGTTAGAAGACGAAAAGTTGACGAATAAGCAAAAATTTTCTGTTCTACAATTTATAGTTGCACTATTGTTGTTTTATTTACTTGCCCGCATTTTCACTGGATTATCCTGCTCTTTTTTTTTTTTTTTTTTTTTTTTTTTTTTTTTTTTTCCTATGTTTAGTTACCCGTTTTAATGTATAAAATCTGAATGTAGGTATGGTTTCAACATGCTACCATAAACGTTAACGTCAAATTAAGGACATAGAGGGAAAATAAGCCAAAATATCCCAGCACAAATTGTTCAAGTGGTTATAGCAACCAATTGTTGGGAAAGAAAAAGAAAAAAAAACTCCCCGACAGGGAATCGAACCCTGGTCTCCCGCGCTTGAAATGTAAATGACAAGCGGAAATCATGACCACTAGACCATCGAGGACAGTCTTTTGACGGGGGACTGTGCGCCACTGTTTCATTTCTATTAACTTGGTAACTAATCAACTTTTTATGGGTTCAACCCCTCAAACTTCAACGTTTTTCTGGCCCTAATTGACACCCTAAACAACCCCTAATCCTAACCCCTAATTAACTCCTAGCAACATTGCTCCCTAGAAACTACGTCTACATGAAATGCAGCATTGCTTAGGAAAGCATTTCTGAGGCGGGAGATCAATCAAGGGAAGCAATTTTAACTTTGACATCCTCTTGTTTTTAGTTGAAAACATGGGAGAATTTCTCGTTTTTCGTTTTTTTTTTTTTTTTTCATCAACGCCGTGTTGTTTCACCAAGGCGACAAGTGCGCTCATATCACGATCAAGATTAATGTGGTCTGGCTGGATAAACCGCTATCAACCCATGATGGATTGGAAATCCCGGCCGGCTTGCAGAATTGACCAACCCTTCGTTCCGTGTCAATATCGGATGCACGGGAGGAAACCTTCCGGCGGGCCACTTCGAAGAATTCAATGAGATCGTGTGCGGCACAGGTTCTGCGGGGTAACTAACCTCATGCTCTACACTGACTAGTTTCAGCATACAAAAAATGGGTAGTCGCTTCCCCGAATGATAGCACCAATTTACCATTCTCTCTCGAAGATATATAAGGCCTCGTGTCCACTATTCAACGGTTTATTGTTCCTCAGTACAATCCACGGGACAGCTTTAGCTGCAAGAAAATCCCGAAGATATCAACCCCTTATAAGCCGTTCCTTTTCTGTCCCTTATATATCCTCGATCGATGCAGTTTTTCCAAACCGGACTCGAATCACAAGTCAGAACACCAACGTCCAATCCAAGCTAATACAGCTTAGCGATCCATCCTCTAGCAAACATGGCTACATCAAAGGAAGATATCGCGGCGCAGCATGAAAACCACTCACTCGATTTGCGTTGTTCTCAGCAACCGCGGATCCGCTCCTGGCTTTCATTGGGGCATTTTTATCCCCTACTGTTATCACGCAACAAACCGTGAAGGTGGTTGGAAGATTGAATACAAACTGTCGGGTGGGGGTTCCCATTCCCCATGAGTCTCGTCGACATGTAGTCATTCATTGATCATCTCTCAGAAATGTCTGTGTGAGCAGTATTAATGATAGTAGTTAAAAATCATCCGCCATATGATGAAAGACTGACTAAATTGGCAATGAGCCTTTGTATATTCCCAATACTCTGGAAACCAACCGGCATTTTCCCAGTCCACGCTTCCAGTTATCTTTGCCATTTTCGGCAAGAATATTCCCCTGCCTCAGGTCTCCATTGGTAAAATCCAATGTCCATGATGAACGTCGTGGGAAACAGGCGCGCATTTGCGAGTTTCGTTTCGTCACCGAAAGGATCCGTTAGGTATTTATTGAATTTCCGATTCGGTTGAAAAGCGTAGCTCCTCTGCTGGCTCTCTGGTATCCACCAATCTAGAAACCTACCACCCATTGAATTACAGATTTGAAATCTGATGTCTTATTTTATTTATTATTATTATTTTTTAAATTTATATTTTGGGAACTTCCGGAGTTCGAAAATATAATGTTTAGATCAGCTACTACCTATTCCATCTGTTCAATCAGTCATTATGTCTAGCTTTTGGCCAATTGGGCAACCAGGAACGCGAGTCATAAAGAAGGGAAGAAAAACGTTGGGTAGCCAAAACGTGTATTGCTCGCGGTGCTGATGTCCGGGTCAAATTCTCCACCATATGAAGTGTATGCGCTTCAATTCGAGATTCTAATGTAAGCCTGGGAGATCCTCTTCGCGAAGTACAAGCCGAATGGCAATCCGTACAACAGTCATTGAAAGCGTGGAGCCGTACAAGCGGAGTCCAGTCAGGATTAAAGCATCATAGACGTAAGCTGGCATGAAACACGGCAAGAGAAAACCTATATAATGCGTCTGAGAATGCGACATAGATCTGTCGGTAACGAAGGGAAGAATCATGTGGGTCCTTAGCGCAGAGTAAAACACTATTGGGCCTTTTCACCATAAAAAACTAAAAAATTGAAGCAGGATTGAACAGCTAAGCAAAATGGTCTCTTACGATTAAACCGATCAAACTATACGCCAATGTATTTTCTTGCCTCAATCCATGGTAAAGAGAGTGAAAAGTATTTGTGGAGGCTCAGCAACTCTTCATTAACAATGGAAGCTTCTGTGGAATTCTATTCTCGAGAGTCATTGATCTCATATAAACAGCGGTTCCAAAGTCACGCTTTGGGGTGGGTAACTAGGTTTTGTTTATACAAAGGTGCTATCATAAATTGTAAGCAGGAGCAGGAGCATGTCCCCTTGAAACAGATGGTGTCATACCTTTTTAAGTTGGTTTGCCCAAGATGGTTCTTTAAAAGGCTACATAGAGGCCTCTCGCATAGCCTCAAAAGCCTACGTAGACAAGAGTCAGACATTATCAAACGTTTCTTGCGCTTCTTTGCGCGGCGGCGGAGGATAGAGAAATATATATATATATATTTAATGGCTCTTCGGATATGAAGACCTCGAGCATATCCAAACAGAGAAGACTTGATAGCACTCTAGCAAATTTGAAATCCACCCCAGTCGATCATTGGCATACGGTAATACACCTTTCGACAGTTACGAATCGTCGAATAAACAAGGAGGCACTATGCGCGCGAGCTTGGCGTCGCGGTCCGAAACTGTCTCAAACGACGTACGAGTGACACAACAGGAGCCTCCATCTCGCCTGTATACAAATGTCTCTATCCCCGACTGGCGGTGGATGCGCTTCAACTGGACGAACTAAACATTTTTGTTCGAAGGAAAATGTCCAATCCAATCATGATCTCATCAAGAAAGGGGGGCCTAAAAGAGAATAACAGGCCCCAACATTTCTCGATCAAAAATCTTCCAAGATAAGGGAAGATGTGACATGTGTTGTCTGCCGAAGCCATCTGGCATCGACGTCGACGTCGACGTTGAAAGAAAATACCCCGCTGCTTCCTGGGAACTGCAGCATTCCCAACAAAAGCAACCAAGAATAGCGCGATCGGGGTGAGGTATGCTCGAGATGACAAGTGATGCTCTCAAGGGGGGAGGCTTACCATGGCCTGAGAGCTCTGTGCTGAATTGATAAACAGTTGGAGAGAAGTGTAACTAGTTAACACACAAGAGAGCTCAGCTGAGGTTGCATACGAATTCGAATAACGGTGTAGTTGAACACACTTTGGAGTCCCGGCCCAACTTCTCTCCAAGATATATAGTTAGTTATTTGCTTTTCAGAAGAGATGTGTGACCGCCGAGAGACACTCCAGCGGGTGCCGGGCTATCCAGCAAGGACTCCCTCTATCACCGATCAGTTGACTCCCTGGTTCAGGCGAGGAGAGAGCCAGCCATGGCCCTCCATCTCCCAGTTCGCTGAAAGGAGACATTGGGCATAAGCTATTATACAGCAAGTTATTTTAACGATTAACTGGGTGGGTAGCTACACTCCACTTGCCGTACTTAATTAACTATGGAAAAGGCATTGACAAGATTTTCTCGAGAGCTGGAAGCGGTGTTGACAGAAGGCATTCAGATCTATCTCTATGAGTAACCAACCAAACCAATAGTTGTTAGTTCATATTTAATCTCCTTCGGTCGGTAAAATTACCTTCGAGGCTCCATCCCCCAGCGAAGTAAGCTACAATAATGCATGTCGTATATACCATTTCAGGCTTCTCGGCCTGACTTCGCTTTTTGCGCGTTTTGCCGCTCAACTGCGTGGAACCGAGTTCGACTTGTCCTGAAGGTGCACAGCAGCAACCACTCTTTTTTTTTTTTTAATTTTTTTAATTTAAAATTTATTTATCCCTTTTTTTTTTATGTGTTATTGTTGTTGTTTTAAGAGTATACCCTGCTGCATCATTAGTTTATTTCCTGCTTTACTTGTACTCCTCCAAAAGGGCTAAGTTAAGATTTCCAAATCTTCTCCGATCGAGTCCTGTTTTCACTTCCTTTTCGCCATCAACAATGCCAAATGCGTTGAACCAGATATCAAAAAGGAATATCGCCCACGTTCGATTACCGCCATGTCAACTACATTGCCGCCTTGAGGAATTTGAAGGCATCGGCACTTCCTCCAAGATATCTATCCTCTGCGGTTTGCCAGTTGATGATTGACCACACATTCTCGACATAGGCGGCTTTCCCGTTCAGATACTACATGCGCCAACGGAACAGATCGATGTCAGCATGAAAGCGGAACCAGGAACGGAGGAGAGTGATGTCCAAAAGGGCGGCCTTACCTGCAAATAATACGCATGTTCCCACATATCTACTACAAAAATAGGTATCTGGTCCTTCCCAACGATATCCTGATCCTGCGTCGTGGTAATAGCCAACGGTCCTTGGTTCCCCTGGCGAACCAGCCATCCCCATCCACTGCCCCGAATGCCCAATAGGGCCTCGTTGAATTTGCGACGGAATGCACTCTCGTCTCCCCACTGCCTCCGAATAGCTTCCCATAATTTTGGCGCGGCCTCAATCTTCGTTTCTGGAGCTCCGGTGGGTGCGAGGCTTACCCAGTAGAGTGAGTGGTTGATATGGCCGCCAGCATTGAAATTAATGATCGGTTGCAGATTAACTTGGACCGGGAGATTACCCGCCTTTGCTGCAGCAGCCTGATCTTGAAGAGCTTTGTTGAGGTTTGTCACATACGTGTTATGGTGCTTGCCATGATGAAGCTCCAAGATCTGTGCCGAAATGGCGGGTTCAAGGGCCTAGAACCGGGGGAACAGTTTGGGCATCTTGTTCAGCTGGGAAAGAAAGGGAAAGCATGCGAAGGGAAAGATCCTTACTTACATTGTACGCGTATGGGAGGCTGGGAAGCGAGAATGTTTGGCTCATTGTTGGCTGTGCAGTCGATATGTTTCTGTAGAACCTGGAGGAGCCCCGCCTAAAACTATTATTGATGGGCCGATGGATGAAATACTTTGAGCAATGGCATAACATCTTGGACAAACTATATACAATAATACCATTGCTCGAGGAGAGCAAGCAAGATCGTTAACTACAAAAACCGTAAAAGAAGACGTAACCATTACCCGCCAAGCTTATAAATCATCTTCGCATGAATGGATAATCTGCTCCCACTCCGCCCCATCGATCTGAGATAGAGTTCGGAAACTTGCTCAAATCTTCTTAATATGCAAAAATCCCCTTCCAACGGCGGTTCTCTTGTAAAATGTAATCCCCTAGAGAGAGGGCAGGGGAGAAATCGAGGTGTATATTATATATACTCTGGTAAATCATCCCATGTCCTGCCATCTGAGCTACCGGAAATGATCCAAGTCTTTAATCAAGGAATTCTCGCATTCAACTTGACTGCGAACACGAAAATTTATACATCTTCATTCATTTACTCATTCATTCATTCGTTCGCTCGTTCATTCATTCATATTAATGTTTTAGCATCCTTCTACGAGAGAAAACTATATCGATTAGCAAAGAGAAATATGTGCAACGAATTTTCCTCAAGGACCAGCCAGGGAGGTGCCATGGCATTCCTTCATCCCATAACCACGGTAGAGAGCAAATCTGGAAGCAAATCTGGAAGCAACAGCTCCACAGCCGGCTATCGGGTCACTTTGCATGAAAATCATACGGCGGCCGGGACCGGAGGCATCCATTTGTACATCAGCAAGCCAGTAGTAAAACAGGGGGAGCAAGAGCAGGCTCAACGGTCCCCCGTCGAAGCCATCCGAGCATATTGGGTTGAGATTCAGTTAGTAGTCTAATAACGCATCACTTCACCCATGGCCGATCGATACATATGCATATGCATATGCATAGTTACACCACATACATTGGCTAACACCAACCTCTTCCCCAGCCCGGATGGCGACCTGACTCCCTCGAAATCCCGCGACGCACTCCCTCCCCTTCACCGCTTCCCACTGCGAAATCTAACTCCACTTAAAGGATTTGGAAATTCACAGCCAGCGACGGCTCAAGCAAGCATGACTCTCGTCACTGGCCATCATAACAGTGAACATGGACGCAGCCGCACACAGGTGCTGCGACTTGACTCCTGTGAGACGGGTGTGATAGGGCGGCGAATGTCGATTGTTGATGCGACGGGAATGAGAGTGGCAGAGGGGGTTATTGGGTGGAACTGATCAGCAGCGGATAGTTATGCGGGGGCGGGAATTACCACACCAGGTTGTTGAGTGAATATGCACCTGTTTTTTAATTAGAGTCTCCAGCTGGACTTGAAAAAAAGAGACTTTCTGGCATTTAGTTTGCGGGCGGCTTGCATTAGACGGCGTTGTTTGAGCCTCATTCTCATTCGCGGTTCACTTTTTTATTTTTCCAATACGGAGCATTATGGGAAGTTATTTGGCTCACCGGTAGGCAAAATAGTTAATAATACTCTCTCTCCCCCTCTCCGTGTTTCAACAGACCAGGATTAACATTCAGGGGTGTAGAGGTTAGAGAGTATTATATACGGGCTTTCATTGGTTTAAATCTTAAATAGCTTATTCAATTAGCGCAAAGCTTGGTTGAAATACTCTCTGAAACGTTCACAAAGAGCGCAACCTCCGATGTTCTTAGCGAATGAAGTCCGCTTTCTCCGCTTTCTTGACGCCAAGTCGTTGTCCCAGGATTACCCACGAACCGACACACAACACTGTGCGGAACGCTTTGTTATCCTCATGGACACCAAATGCTCGCCCCAGCATTTCCTCGACTACATCGTAGTCTACAAAACCCAGACTTTCAACCGCCTCGCGTGTCAAAAGCTTTTCAAACATGAGGTGTAATGGGCCTTTTTCGGGCCACCGTGATGGCGCTAAGAACGGGAACTTTTTCCTTTGGTACAACTCGTCCGTGATATACGGTCGAACAGCTTCACGTAGGATCCATTTCTCAGTCATCGCCTGTAGCGCCCTTCCAGCTAGCTTCCAAAGTGGCCCCTGGTCCTGACTGTTCATAGCTTCAGGCGCATACGCAATCTTAACGCTGGGGGGAAGGCGGTTAACATATTCAACAAGATGGTGGTCAAGGAATGGCGTACGCCCTTCCACACTGTGGGCCATTTCCGTGCGGTCCCCCAGAGACGAAAGGAGAACGTTGGGTAGGGAACTTTTGCTCCAGAGGTAGAGTGACGTGTGCAGTGGATGCCAGCTAGAGCGGATCTTGGCTAGGACTTCAGGAGACTGGGACGCCATAAGAGCTGCCCTACTATCAAATACCATGTTGGTTTCATGCAACCATGATGCAAAGATCTCTGCGGGTGGCTGCGAGAACCTTAGGGCGTTAGAAATTGCTGTGCCATTTGCATCTGCAAAACATTCCTTGTCCTCATCCGCACCATACTGGCCAGCTCCAACTATACGGAAAACGTTCCTCAATCCGGCGACAGCATCCTTTTGCAGATCCTCTCGCAGCTCATTGGATGGAATAAGCGGAGAGTCTGGCTGTGACAGGTCCGGTTCCAGGAGGTAGTCCTGTGGGAAATATGGGTATCCGGCAAAGATCTCATCGGAACCTTCACCTGTCAAGACAACCTTCACTCCATTCTCTTGTGGGAGTGTGGACAGTGCAAACTTGGCTACGTAGTTGAGATCGTGGTTGTCGTGCTCACAGTGATATGATGCGTCTGCAAAATGCTTTGCCAATGTGGCCTCGTCAACGTCCATTTTAATTGCTTCGACCCCCAGCCATTTGGCCGTCCGATCGGCAATATCTATGTGTATGTGTGTATCAGCAGTAAATAAAATTGATAGGTGCCTTCCTTTACTCTCTGGTTTTCATATTCTTCCTTACTTGATTCATTAAAGCCAGACTTCTCTGGAAACTGCACACTAAAGCACGCCACTCGGGTTGCTTTTTGGTTGCCGATTTTGACGTGATATTTTCTTGCAAGCTGTGTCACAATTCCCGCTACAGCAGATGAGTCGATGCCACCTGAGAGATATACGCCAACAGGAACGTCTGCACGGAGTCGCAATCGAATCGATTCGACGAGTCGTTCACGGACACCGATTATCATCTCATCGATGGTTCGAGGGTCTACTTTGGCCTGTATATTGTCAGCATCATTAATTGGCCATTTTCGACACAAAGTATTTACCTTATCTGCATATTCCGCATCCCAGTACTTCTGAATCTCAATTCCCTTCTCAGAGATTTCCATCAAGTGTCCTGGACGCAATTTGCTCACGCCTTTGAATAGCGTTCTGTCGTCAGCCATCCAACCGCATTCTATAATGGACCCAATATCCCACTCCGGCTTCCACCCCAAAGGCAAAAATGCCTTCGCCTCAGCTGCAAGTAGAATTCTATTGCCAACGATCGTCCAAAACAGCGGCTTAATACCAAACCTATCTCTCACTGCGATCACTTTGTTGTGTCCCTCGCGGCTGTCATATAGAACAAATGCGAATTCGCCACGCAGGTGATTGAGAAACTTAGGAGCTCCATAAATTTTATAGAGTGCTAAGACTAGCTCGCTGTCACTTTCGCCATGGAATTCGTAGCCGTGGACGACAGAACATAACACTCTCAAGCGGTCATAATCGTAGAGCTCGCCATTGACAACAGCGTGGATTTGTCCATCATCACTTGAAAGAGGTTGGGAGCCAGAGGGTGAGAGATCGTTTATGGAAAGACGGCAATGGCCAAGACCAACACTGCCATTGGGGTTGACCCAGATACCCGACTCGTCCGGCCCACGGTAATTTATCTTCTCAATAGAGGCTCGAAGTTTGTCAACGAGTGATGCATCATCCGGGTTTTCGACGTAATCGGTGGGAGTCCCATTGTGACAAACCAAGGGTAGAGCAATACTTGCCGTAATGCCACACATTTTGTAAACTTCTTCTGGAAATGATATTCTGCTTTGTACTGATACCCTCGATAAAACAGAACTTGGATGAAGGATTTTCCAAAATTAATGATAATAATAAAAAGATTACTATGGCTTTTTACTCGGCAAGTGACACAAATCAATTGCGGGGAGGGGGTGTTTCAATGGATTGAACACAAATATATAGTACATGTAACGACGATGCACGACAGCTTCATCTTTCGGAGGCATACGCGCCCTCACTGGCCAGTTACCGCTATTGAGCAGTCAACAGGCACATGCTTTGTCGTTGGTATAGCCGAGGTGTCATTCAACTGTTTAAAAACTGTCCGATAAAGTGTCCGCTTTGCAAAGCACGTTGTCATTTGTGGAAGTGAATAATAAAGCGCGATATCCCGAACGTCCGGGATCCCGATACCGGATTTGAGCCCGCTACACAACGGGTATATTTTGGACGGTATGTGTGAACGGGGTGTACAGAACTTGGGAGTATTTGCTTTTTTGTGTCACGTTAGCTCAAAAGAAGGATTGAATAGCATTGTGGTTAGAGTTTATGCATGGAAGGCCTGAGCATTCTTAAGCTCGAGATATCACCCCGCTGACCTCATAGCGTCGAGCTTACAGAGGAGACATTTATGTACTCAAAGGATCCATAAACTATATGTAACACTATCCATGATCCTTGATTGCATAAAGCCGAGTAATATAATACTCTGGAGAAGAAAATTAGCCATCGAAAAAGACACGTTCAAAGATCATCCTCAATCGAGCCACCTACCAATGACATTGAATGAGGCGCTATCTGCCCCTCCACGGACAAATATACGCTTATGCTTGTGTTTCTTTTGTCTTGCTAGCATCCCTTTCAGCTGCGAGGTTCATGTTGGTGATGCGCATGGCTAGATATGTAGATACACGCATCATCCTTTATGTTTTTATCAGCAGGATCATATTTAGCGTCCCGAATAAGGGCAAACATATGCTGTCCCTTTGCGGTCATGTTACATTTCAGCTCACATAGCTTTGCGCAGCTGATTGAGAAAGTTACGTCGAGCGGACAGATAAAGGAAGCGAAAGTAATCCCTCTGGTTGTGACGGAGAAGATAGACGAATCAAGGCTTATAGCGTTGTATGATAGCTTCAAGCTGGTGCTGGACGGTGCAAATTTATCTTTCTTGAATAAATAAAAACGTCGATCGGGGTTAATTCCGACTTGGGATGCCCACCTTTCTGACTAGACTAAGTAAGTAGTTCTGAATTAGTAAATCGGTGATTAGTATCTGGTATAAAATCCCAGGACAGTCCGGCGCAGTTAAAATTGATGCTCACTAGTTTGTCTGGATCTGTAGGTTTCCCTGCTGCCATTTATCCTGAACCTGAACTTGAACGTAAAACTTGGGAATAGGTTTCAAGTTCTGCCCACGTTAGGAGTAAAAGGGGATATGCACCCCAAAATGTAAATATTAACTATTACATAATTTATGAAAAGAAATGCTCGAGCTGCAACTGGATATATACTTACAACCCAACAAGTTCAAACGGAATTGAAATCTTAGTACACGTAAGATGCCAAGTGAGGAGTGAAAATGCAGGAAGCAAAAAAAAAAAAAAAAACAATCCACAGAAAGAAAACCCAACATTATGACCGAATCCCAGCAAACATCCACGTGTCAAGGTGCAAGGTACAGAAACGATTCGATATGGTTCATTCAGAATCAAACTAAAAACAGGGGAAGGCAGAAAGGGGAAAGGAAAGATTATTCTTCAGAACATTATCATGTCACAAAGGTCCACCGAAAGTGGACAGAAACAAAATTTATAATAGAAGAGATGAGGTGGTTGTGTGAGAAGAGGGGGAAAGTTCATTATAATCATATAATGTCTAAATCTATTGATGAAATTTATGACACCTCCTTGACACGGCACTGCCAGCCTGATTCCTTATTGAGAAGGGGCAAACTATTCCACCATGTTAGCCTGAGTTTTGCAATAGCTGGTTTAAAGGAGGAATGAAAAGAGAGGGAAAATAGAAGCAACTAGGGGTGTATAGAAGTGTGAGTAAAAATGTGGCGTACCTTGCACCCAAGCACCAACCAAGCTCGTTGCCTTTGATTTTCTTCGCAATTTTAACTTGGCGAGAAAGCGGAAGATCGTATCCGGTGTGTAGAAGAGAGAGCATGAATGAAAGATCCAAACAGTGTTCCGGACGGTCCAGAAGCTCACTGAGGGCGTCCTTGATACTCTCAAAAACACCCCAGCTACCATATCCCGAGCAAACAGTAGATGTCAAGTCTTGTAAGTCTCGTAGCGTGAAAGATTCCGGCATCCCGAGAGGAGCTGTGCGGTCATAGAAATATGACATGATATACAGATCTTCCTGGGCGAAAGTCTTCTGGAGAGGGGGCTGATGAACACCGTTGAAGGAGCAAGGAGCCATTTTGCATTCCGAATCTTTCTTGAGAATTTTGTCTGAAATTCCTCGACATTGGGCGGCGGAAGATATGTCTTTCGGCCCTGTCATATTGACCTCGACGACCTTACCGAGAGGGTGGTTCTCCCCGAGAGTTACGTTCACCTTCAGATTCATCCCAGCGCTGAGGCATGGATTCACCAGTGGCTTAGAAAGCCAGCTTTGATCATTTGGGCTAGATTCGTGTTTAGCTTCCACGACGGCTTGGTGGATTGTTTCTCTCGCCTTCATGAGTCCGTATCCTAGGTGGGAGTGTTGGTATAGGGCGAAGTCTCGGCCGCCGAAATTCAGAGTAAATTTGTGAGCACCTTCGGCCAATTGTTCTGGCGGTGCTCCATTCACGCTCTTGAATGTGGGCTCGAAAACAATTTGGGTCGATCCTCCTCCAAGATCAAAAACTGCAGCAGTCGGAATGCGCTCCTTTGTACCGATGTTTCCAAGCAGATAGTTGGTGGTGATCCAAGCGTAGACTCCTTCATATTTGCCATCCATTATTTCAACACCACCTCGTTCCTTCGAAACGACGGGGAATGGGTATACTGTTTCTAGGCGATCCCTCACCGCCTCCAAGATCTTATCGCTAGTTTCCTGGCCTAGAAATCTCAGACCCGCAGTCGCCTTTACTGCCACTGGGGAGCAGGACTGATACTCTTTCGGGACCGCTTTCAGCGCAACCTCCATCAATGGATCCAAGCTCTTTGCAGCTGCCTCTGGGTCATTTGCGTAAGCACTTAACCCTGCACCACCTTTCTTCTTCTCTGTCATTTTGAAGTCCTCATTTTCAAGTTCTGGTGTGTGCCCACAATTGTTAAACCGGTATACGTGAATTCGGGAGCCAGTACTTCCGGCATCGATCATCAACGCATATTGGATCAGGGGTTTTGAGGAATCATATGGCTTCGTGCATTTCGTGGAGGAGACGGCGGTATTGATCGTCGCAGGGACTGAGGTACCTGACGGGAGCAGGACGTAAAGAAAGAGCAATAAAATTGCAATAACCCCCCACGTCTTAAAATACCTAGTTCTCTGACTTTGGGTCATGGCGAAAACCATGAATATGTTCCGGAACGTCAGAGTCGTGGTACTCCGAAATGGATCCCGCGAATGCCTATCAGCCTTCTCGAATGGATCGCGGACAGACTTCGTTGGGATGGAGATGGAACGGCGCCTAGGGTTTGAGCCGAAGGGCAAATAGGACCAAATTCCAACACGATTACGAGAATTTACTCCAGTTGGCATGCGAGCGAATGTGAATCACACTTCGAGAATGGAATCAGCAGAAACAGGGGGGGGGGGGGGGAAATGCTGCCGAAGTCCCGTAGAGATGGAAAAGAAGAACAAGTTTAACGAGCGGTAGACCTGAAAGTGGGTCATAGATTCAGTCTGATCACAAGCACTCCACCAGGAAGATCGCTAAGCCAGAGAGGAATGAGCATCAGATGAAATAGTTGACATGAAGCACACAAGCACCTGGATATTGGTGATGAAAAGGGGTTGACCGGGATGAAGAAGAAAAAGTGCGATATGGATAGATGCGAAGTTGCCAAGAGGTGGCTGAACCAAGCTTAATTTTTTGGGTTGGTTTGGACTTCCACGCGACTGTACAGAGTAACTACTTAGCTGAACCCATACATAGGGTAGTTAGATAACTATTCTCATGGATGTGAGTAATACGGAGGACTAAAAGTTACCTACAGCTTTCCTTGGGAGTAGTGGGAAGTGGCTGGTAAGGCAGGATAGCTTTCAATTTTTAATTTTTTGTGGGCGTTAACTACTTTCATGTCTAATATTTTTTTCTGGTCGCAGGGTCCTTGTTCTAGTTAAAGGTGCAATTGCAATTCACCTCCCAAACCCATCTTCGTGGGACGGCATTCCCCTGATGGCAAAGACCATGAATCATGTTCGAGCTCTTGTCGGAATTCCGCAGACTCTTCGCCAAATATTCCTGTCGTCAATAGAGTCACAATCTATACTATTTGCGGAACGTCAGATTGTGTGGAGGCAGACAAGATGCTATCGCTTCCAGCCCGTGCGGCCACAACCTGTCGCTTCGAGACCGGAGACACAAATGCTTAGGCGACCCGAACCAGTCAATCTTCAAAAAAATTACGGACCACAGGGAAACAACAAGGGTAGCACGGGTGGCAAAGGGGTCAAGGACCACAATGGACTCATAAAAGACGAGAACATTCACGCAGAGAGAGTGCAGATTGTGAACGAGGATGGATCGCTCGGGGAGCCGATGTCAGTTGCCGCTGCATTGCACACTTTCGACCGTTTCGTAAACGTCCTTCTCCAAGTCGCCCCCGAAACCGCTGAGCGCCCAGCCATTTGCAGGATTACTAGCAAAGGACTACTGCAGCAGAAATTACAAGCAAAATTAAAAACCCCCAAAGACCCAAACCACGCGCTAAAGCAGGTCGAGCTGAACTGGGGCATTGATGGCCATGACCTCTCGCATCGAATGAAGATGGTTGAGACATATATTGAGAAGGGAAAGAAGGTTGAATTCATATTGCTGCAGAAGGATCGGAGGAAAAAGAAGCTTCCGACCCCAGAGAAGGCTCGTGAGCTTGTTAAGACGATAAAAGAGCAACTTGCAGAGATGGGCGCTGTGGAGACTAAGAAGATGGAGGGGACCCTACTGGGACGGCTTACGATACATGCTGAGAAGTTGAAGAAGCCGTGATGGTCTCTCGAAGGGACAGAGACGTGTATATTATTTTGTTTAATAGACTCTTTCAATATCTCACAACGGCTGGACAGTATAAGCGGGTTTGACGCCCCTTGAGCCAACTATAAGAAATACGCCAAAATTACCCAACTTTATAATGGATGTAAATGCTGGATACATTAAATCCATTGAATCCACGGAATCCCCATTCTCCTTCTCGTCATGCCAGACTTTTGGCTGTTGGGATGTTCAATTGTCTGCTTGAACCACACGCTATTGGCTGAGGATATGATGATGACTAATCACTAGTAACTGAAAACTTTTGGGTTCAACTTTTGATCTAACAAAAAGTATTTCGAGCTGACAGCGACTGTTCATAGATTCTTGTCAATTACACGAAAACTGCTCCATTGAAGGACTGTCAAGATGTCTAATATTTCAAGATCGGTCAACGCCCTGCTGCGGACTAGCAGACTTGCTCTGCAAAGACCCCGAGGTGTCAACCCGATTCACCATGCCCTCCTTCAAGACCGCATAGCCTTCAGAGGCATGGCGACCGTTTTCGAGAGAACGAAGCCTCACGTTAACGTCGGTGGGTAATCTTCATTTTTGGGGCTTTACCGTGGATCTTTAATCAATTCTAATAATATATAGGTACCATTGGCCATGTCGATCACGGAAAGGTTCGATTTCTACTTTTCAATTTATTTTCTCTATTATTCGTATTCTAATCCATGAAACCCGGCAAAAGACTACATTGACGGCCGCCATCACCAAACGTCAAGCAGAGAAGGGATTGGCAAACTTCCTGGAATATGGGGCGATTGATAAGGCTCCTGAGGAGCGGAAGCGTGGTATCACCATCTCTACCTCTCACATCGAATATTCGACCGACAAACGACATTACGCCCACGTTGACTGTCCCGGACACGCTGATTATATCAAGAACATGATCACTGGTGCTGCGAACATGGATGGTGCTATCGTCGTTGTTGCTGCCTCTGACGGCCAAATGTAGGGATTTTGCAAGACTGATGAAAAAATTTAAAGCAAATAGAAAAGATTGTGCTGATGTTGGTATCAGGCCTCAAACACGCGAGCATCTGCTCCTTGCCAGACAAGTCGGTGTGCAGAAAATCGTTGTTTTTGTCAACAAGGTCGATGCTGTAGAGGATAAGGAGATGTTGGAGCTTGTCGAATTGGAGATGAGAGAGCTCCTGACCACATATGGGTTCGAGGGTGAGGAGACCCCTATCATCTTTGGTTCTGCGCTCTGTGCTATGGAGGGCCGTCAGCCCGAGTTGGGAGAGCAGAAAATTGATGAATTACTTGAGGCTGTGGATACTTGGATCCCTACGCCACAGCGTGATACCGACAAGCCCTTCCTGATGTCTATTGAGGAGGTGTTCTCTATCTCTGGACGAGGAACCGTTGCCTCCGGCCGTGTTGAGCGTGGTATCCTCAAGAAGGACTCCGATGTTGAAATTATTGGCGGTGGTGTTCCCACAATCCTGACCAAGGTGACTGATATCGAAACCTTCAAGAAGTCTTGCGACGAGTCCAGAGCCGGGGACAACTCTGGCCTCTTGTTGCGCGGTGTTAAGCGTGAGGATATCCGCCGTGGTATGGTCGTTGCAGTTCCCGGAAGCGTCAAAGCACATAACAAATTCTTGGTGTCGATGTACGTTCTGACTGAGGCTGAGGGTGGTCGCCGCACTGGCTTCGGTCAGAACTATCGTCCTCAAATGTTCATCCGCACAGCTGGTACGTTCATTCTTTCACTATATTCCTATATGTATAGCCCGATCCTCCCATTAACTAATTGACACAGATGAGGCTGCTGAACTCAGCTGGCCTGATGGAGACGACGAAAGCAAAATGGTCATGCCCGGTGACAATGTTGAAATGGTCCTGAAGTCACACCGCCCGGTGGCCGCTGAGGCTGGACAGCGATTCAATATTCGTGAGGGAGGTCGGACTGTCGCTACTGGGCTCGTAACCCGTGTCCTCGAGGATTAGATCGATAATCTACGCGGTACAGCATTGTGTTAGAGATTCATGAACTTTTTGACATCTGTGTAAAGCGAGGATTTTGGGGAAAAAAGGGCCGGCAAAACTCAACATCTCTGGAGTCAACATGTGTATAATTTCTCTTTATTTCCAAGTATTGTGTTTCATTAGATGCTTCTATCCTTGCCTTCTTTTTTATGTTTTGTATTTTTATTTTTAATCTCTCAGAGTGTTCATCCATGTAAACAACAACGATATGGCCTCTCTCGACTCCCTCCTGATAGGCTTTGTCCTACGCTTATTGCTACTGTTTTTCTGGCTGCCCCACGTGAAACTTTGTTTTCAGCCACACTCTTCAGAAATCACCCGTTCACTGGGGCCTCCAGTTGATAGATAGTATGGCACAATGCAAAGCTTCTATCCAGTGGTGTCAAATGGACTGGTCAATGGAACATATGTATCTCTTCTCCCAGTGACTGACTACTAGGAACAACACATAAACAGGACAGAAAACGAAATTCACATGTAGAGGTTTCTGACATGTGACGAAAGTTCGAGAAAATATATCCGACAGAAGGAAATCGCTCTGAATTGAACAATCTCCGTTGATCTAGATCATCACTAACTCGACTAGAACTCTAATTTTCGGCCAGTGAGCTTAAATCATCGCGAGATTTGGAATCAACAGTCAAGATCTCTTGGGTAAAATCCGCCACACTAGCCCCAACAAGCGACAACCCCATCATGGTCAAGCTGCTGATGATGAGGAAACATTTTAATCTCACTACATGCAACGGGCTTTGGAACCCATGTAGTAATCTATGGATAACTACTGCGTGAAAAGATTTGTCAATAAATGTCGGATCCCCTGGCGAACAACCACCTGTGTGGCCCGCCCAATCCCTACCATGCTGTTCTCGAGGCCCTCCGGCAAGGAGGCGACGACAAGCTCTTTGATGATAGTGAAGGTGAGAGATATATGCAGACTGCAATCGAGGGGGGAGGAACCTGTCCAGTTTACGTACCCATGCTTCTTTTCGAATAGTCCTGCGAATCTCTATTAGCTTGCGTCAGATTTATCTTCCACCCTGGCATGAATATCTCTCCCCATTCATTTCTGATTTCGTCGGTGGCCCCTATACCCTTATTGGAGGCTTTCGGACGCTGTCGGAAAGTGAGATAACCAATTGTCATCACTGTTATTGCCATCGTGTTTCTTGCCCAGCGTCCCACGCGTTTCCTGAAATAATGAACCAACCCTATCTTCAGCTATATAAATACATACTCTTCGAAGATAAGGTTTAATGTCTTCGTTATTTCCCTTGCTAAGTGGTTGTTTATAGAACCGGCGGGGGAGGCGCCCAATGAACAAGACGACCAAGCAAAATCCGCCCACTCTCGACGACGGGAACAGGTCAGGCGGGCGCAGCGGTAAGTTTACCTCATAGTGATCCCGCTGGGAGGCCCGTGCTCCTCTTTTATATAGAACTGAATACATGTGGGTAACCTACCCGCCGGAAATGCTGACAGATATACAAATTGTTCAGGAACTATCGCGAGAGGAAGGAGAAGTACATAAAGTCCCTTGAACAGGAGCTTCTCCGTCTTCGCGATGAAACAACATCTGTTCAAACCGAGACCTATCAGGTAGTCGAGGAAAATAGCATCCTCAGGGACATCATGCTTGACCATGGGATACCATATCCTGGATTGGAAAAGCTGTGGATGTCCCATAACCCCATGGCCACTGTTTCCGTTATCGGTAGCCCGGGTTATGGACAACGGCTTCAGGTGTCGATGAATGATGATCCTGCTCACCCGTTGGCGGTGTTTCCGCGCGGATTTGGCGTCCCCGATGGGCCGGATGGGATACACCCAATAGTTTCGGTGGTCGTTGATAGGACCTCTCCAACTCCCCCCGAAATCATCCAACAATATCTATCACCACCCGCCGAATTCAATTCGAGGACCTCTCCTCAGCCTGCCCAGGTACTTACTCATCCATACGGCCTTGATGCGACCCAAGTCGGGGTAGATTTCGTGCTATTGTAAGCTTCCCTTATATCCAGTTCATCCCTTTCCTTTTTTGCCCCGCGGTAGCTAACCATGCTTGTGCCAAACCACGCAGCATGGAACGATGTTGCCTATACCACGTCCACGTTCCCGACTACTTCGAAGAAGCAACCGGCCACGCAATGACCGTACTAGCACCCATGCTCACCGGAGCCCCTCCCCTTCTAAATGACTACACCTCGTGGCAGATTCCTGCAAAAGAACTTGATCGACTATTCAACCTCTCTTCGTCCCTGCGGCTAGATGGCGAGCTCACGCCGGTCCAGATCTGGATGCGGGTTAAGCAGCATCAGCACTTCCATAAGCTCAAGCCGGAACATGTGCGCAAATTGGGCAAAGATTTGATAGGTAATGTGCGGTGTTATGGGTACGTGTCAATATTTTATTATTTATTTATTTATATTTTTTTTGCTAACAGAGTTGTTTAGATTTGGTGCAGTTATAGAAGAGAAGATTGTCGCAAGGGTTATGAATGAACTATTTGACTCTCTTTAAGCCATTTATTTTCATTTCATTTCACTTCTATTTTGTTTGATGAATTTCCTTTTGGAAAAGTTATCTCAATTGTACCATCAGCAAGTTCTGAAAAAGTACATTGATCTGATGATATATTTTCATGTAAGACTTCATCTCAGAGCTTTCTGAGGAATAAACTCACTAGCTGAACACTCAATCAAATTGTGCTGCCAATCTTTGATGAACTGAATATTCTTCAGAATTTTAATCTGAATTGCTTCCACTCAACAACCAGTTAAATTAAATCATTATAGGATTATGCAATATGTTTTACTTTGTCTCAGTGTATTTGACAGTGAGGTTAAACAGATTTGACAGTGAGGTTAAACAGACTAATGTCTGGGTTAATCAAGTCATTTCGTAATGAAACTTTCACACTAACTAGCTAGTGAACTAACTTAATTAATCTTACGATCAGGCCATCCTTCTTCCGCCGCGGTGTTTCGCTCACTAATCTTACGATCAGGCTGTCCTTCTTCCGCTCTGATGGTTTCGCTCCCTAAGCTTATGATTGCGGCTATCCTTTCACTCTTGCGAATTCACTGTTTTGAATTTTTTCTTTCCATCCTTCTTTCCCTAATTAATATGTTCTTTGTATAAAGGAAGTGCTAAGGCTTGTAGTTATTCAGTAACTAACACGTCTGTTACATTACAAATTCATTGGATAATCACTTCTTAAAAAAGGTCAGAGTGTCTGTAAGAAGAAAGTAACAGTCATCTCATTCAATATAAACATAAATTATGAACCTTTCTTTACGTTTGTCTTCGGGAAGTTAATAATAGTATTATTTTTCAAAGACTATAAAAAAAAAACTTATGCAATTAACTAAGCTATTGTGTTGATTGAATAATTTTAAGGTTTTTAATATTTAATAGTTACAGTTAGTTATTTACACTTATATTATATAATTAAGTTATTAAAGAAATAACTAACTAGTTAAATTTTTATTTTAATAAGTATATTAGTAATTTCCTTTATATCTAGCTTAAAGTTTAAAGATAATAATTAAACTTAATATTAGTAGTTTGTAATCAAATTTTGTGAAATTAAATTTAGTTGATATAATAAATGTAATCCACAAGTGGAGTGGGACATGGAACACTCAAATTAAAATATACACAAAATTATCATCACCAAATAGTTATTACTTATTAAAAATTAAATTACACTAGGATTAGGGCATCTTCGCTGTGTAAGTCTGATAGTTGCAAAATTGCTATACCATTGTGGTGCGCATTGGCAGGGCTGAGTAGCTGAACGTTCGGGTTCTGGGGGGTGTGTTCAATTCGGGGTTCAACTGAAGCATTTGGCGGAGGGGTGAACTGTTTGATGAGCTCCTGAGCTTCTTCCTGTGTAATTCCTCTCTGAGAAATGATTCTTTATCTAGATCTTCTTCTTTTTACTTCTCCTGTTCATTCACGTCAAATAAACTCTGATATTGTCTCTTCATGAGAATGATATTGGGCCTTCAGGAAGCTAGCTGGTCAGGCACTTCTCAGTCATTCTTGCTTTCACAAACCCCTACAACTACCCAGCAATTGCATCGAGAGGCAAGTAGAGTCAAAGATCTCTTTGGTCATGAGCTTCCAAACCCATCCGAAGGCTTTATGGAGTGATTTGATCGAATTATCCGGACTAGTGAATATAGCATGGGTAGGGGTTCTGAGCTGAATATCAAGCAGCTGAATAACTCTATCTGAATTGAATGAATCAATTCCAGTTGTCATAAAGCCACATTGAATATTCTGAGATTTAAAAGCCTCAGCTCTTGCTTTGGGATAAGCCTCCAAGAAATACAGCTTCTTGATTTGAGTTGAACCCAAGCCGCATTCATTGCTCAACCAGTCCATCATAAGCTCACTTTAGCACCGCAAAAACACTCAAATTCAAAGACCCGGAGAAGATGTGAAGAGTGTGCTGGCATATAGAGAGGAATAATATTATTCTGATCACATAGATCATCAAATTTAGATGTAAGATGACTGCCTGACCGTCCAGCATAAGTAGAGTTTTGACACCCTGTTTCTGTTGATTTGCAATTGTAATGAAGATCTTTAAGCCAATTGAGTTCAATCTCATCTGTTAGTCCAGCCATCTGGAAGCCTGTCAAAACAGCCTTCTTGCATGTTCTGACCCCTGAGAATAATGTATGTGGAGGAAAAGCCCAGCCAGATGCGTTGACACACTCAATAACAGTAACCCATTTGTAATTTCCAGGCTGTAGAAGCTTCGGCCGGCCATTGCACTCACTGCTGAAGATGACTACTGTAGTTACACAAAGTCCCATTGCTAATTCAGTCTCATCAAAGTTGTAGATATCCTCGCGCAGAATCCCATACTCAGTAAGAGTCTTGTTTAGAACATCAAACCACTCTTGAAAAACCTTGATATCTTCACATTTGGCTTGATCATGATTGTAATGTCTCGTATATCAGCTTTGGAGCCCAGGACAGCATTTGACTAGATTTGAAACCCAATTCTTGCCAACTTGTAGTGGGGATGAGGTGGAATCTCATTTCAAAAGAAGATGATTCACCATATTCTCAACAAATGCCAGCCGGGGAAGAAAGGGGGGGGGGGTTCTTGCTTTCCTAGCTTGAGAATCCAATTGACAAGTGATTTCTCTTCAGATTCAGTCAGTTTATGTGAATTTGTGCATAAATTCACGCGGGAAAGGCGTCCAGTCAGTCAGAAGTGTAGAGTTGACTTCAGAATAGGAAATAAATGTGCAGCTTCATGAACTGAGGTAATTTCTTCTTTTTTTAAAGCAGCCACAGCAAGTTTGATTCTTCCCTCTATCTCTATAGCGTTTCTTGGATTTCTTTTGCGAATTGGACGCATTACGACGCTTGAGTTAAGGGGGGTTGCTAAATTAATGTGTTTTTAATTTAGTGTCCCGCTCGCTTGCGTGTCCCACTCACTCACTTGGTGGATTAGTTACGTTAGTTAATTATAGTTAAACTACCTAGTTAAGACAAAAATAGTTAATTTTGTTCTGCTCTGGGGGCTGGCTGTTTTCAAGCCATTTTCGGCCGCCCCAGTCCACCACGGCACACCGCCCAGCCACCAAGCACCAACCACCGTTCGCACGTGATCGCTTGGTTGGGTCAAGCAACCAGCAACTGCTCGCACTCGCGCCCGCTATCATCACCCACACCCCTTCTGGTCTCTTCCATGGCCATGGTTTTTTGTTCATGGCATCAGAAATGAAACATCTGTTTTGACCTCCGTTCCGTCACCCTGATCACCCTGCTCACCTGCTAATACATCATGGCTCGATATAATGAGGGCGAACAACCTCTCTGATGCCTGGAGGGCATACTCGCTCCTTCATTTCATCCCCACCACGTTTCTACTTCGAGAGGATATCTCCACCCGCGCACCGAGTGAGCGTGCCCATTTGCATAGCAAAAGGCGTCTGCTAGTCTCCTCTCCATTCCTGCCAGCATCGCAGCTCCCTCCCTCGCTCCTTCATCAACAACCATCCTCACTTAGAACCTCACAACACTGTATACATGACAAAGCATCACCAAAATCAGATAACATCTGGCAACAATGATAACATGGCTGACGAGTCATCCCACTTGAAATGTGAACAGCGATTCCGATCGGGCATACGAGACGGAGCTGACTGAGCCTGATTCTGATGCGCCTCGCGACAGATGCAGGAGCAAACACAAGCGTCAACAGCTGCACTACAAACCCAGCACACCAGTAACCCAGAAGAACTAAACCACCCAATGATGCTGACGACAACGGATGATACAGAAGATGAGATATTGTCAGGGGATGAGGATGATGACTACTCCACTGGCGCCAAGCTTCTCATCACTCATATGAAGGATCATTGGCAGTACTCAGTTTCTCTCTTCCTCTCTTTGAATCTCAACCTCTCTGGTTCAAGACCGACAGAGAATCATCTTCAGATACTGCACAAAGAAGATGAAGCTGTTCACAGATCTCAAGTGACAGAGTTCAGTCAACTCTTCATACTGCAGAATGACATAATCTGTATCTAGTTTTCAACTGACATTTCAAACTGAAATTGAGAAAGAGCAGCCATTGACTGAAGAGAATAAACAAGTTGAGCTTTCTGAATGATGACTGAAAGAACTTTGTGCACCACTATGAGAGTATCACTAATATCAAGATCAATGAACAGCCGATGCAACTGGTGTGAAAGATAAGTTTTACTTCTCATCAGACATTAAAAATGAGGCTGATTGTTATGAAAAAGTCTTCATCAACTGATCAAGAAGCATAAACTGAACATACAGAAGAAAAAGAAGATCTCAATGTATGTGAAGAATATATCTTCACTTTGCAAGATTATTTTGCGAACATAGAAGAAGAAATTCTGATTTAAACTGCGGCAAATGCAAATCTATCTTTATAATCTGTTGAATTTTTTCACATTGAACTGAGACAGTGTTATTCTCGCTCCGTAATTTAAATCTAAGAGTGTTATTTCAGCATGATCTTAATGATAAGTTTTCTCTTTGAAAATTCAGTTAATAAGTTTATAAAAAAGTATCTCAGTCTCATGCAAATGTAAGTACTTTCTGATACTATTCTTAAATATGTATGCTGATTGGCAGTTGATCAGAAATATCTTCATTTTGTCTGAGATCATTTATGATGCATCTTTGTTTCATTCTATCTGTCAAACATTGATAGCTTTAATTAAGGGTTCAAATAACGGTGTCCAACCAGTCACTCTTCTGCAAAGGGAGGGGAAACTGTCGGACGGCAAGCTCATTTGAGGTTAGCCTTTTTGTGGTCTAACAAAACAATATTCTCTGACAGAGGTGCGCAGGACCAAAAATACACCCTACTTTGATTTAGTTTTATAGCCACCTTCGAGGGGCCTACATGACATCAGTTGCAAGACCGGGACAGGTGAGCTCACTATCTCATAAAAGTGATCATGCCCAATGCCTCATAATTTCCCCTCGCACAGTTATATGATTAGATAAATGCTACTTTCCAGCATAGCCAAGCTTTCTCAGCAGATCACATATTTTGACCCAGGAACTCTTCCTCTTCATTATCCTTTCCATTGATGACTGCTTGCTCTTTAGCAGGAACAATAGCCTCTCAGCCTGTCCGAATACCGCCCCCATATCATGGGAGCAATCGGCTGGGCGTCCCCCTTATCCGATCGTTTGCGGACTCTGCAGAAAAAGAGAGAATTCATCGTCCTTGTCGGCGAGCTGAAAAAACATATAGATGATCAACTTGGGAACTGGCGCGTGTTGCTTGAGGGGTTCGGCGGCGTATTTCATAGGAAATGCAACGCTGGTGATCCGGCTAGATAAAATCTGGCCTGAGAGGGTGAAGAACAAACCACCAGTCGAACTCTCATGGACATTAGTAGCTCAAAATCCCAACAACGTAGCGAACTATTTTGTTCTACCCAACAACTGATGTTTCCTGTCAACAACGGTATCCATGGGTAATTTGATCACGTCACATGAATAAAAAGCAATCTTCACCGTGACTCGGTCAGATGAGAGTAAGCCAACTTGGGTTAAATATCTGCTTCAAGGCATCCATGCACCTAGTATTAAATAATCAAAATCCTAAGAGACAGCAAAGATGTAGGATGGTCAAGGTCTGAAAGATGTAAATTTTATACATCACTACAGAGTAAAAGGGGCATGGAGTAAACACTCAACTCACAGGTCTTGGCAAACGCACGAGCCAAATCCATTCCGGCGCCAACTTCATGTCTTTGCATCTCGAGCAGAACGGAATAAACATCATCGTGTTAAAATTGTCCTCGGCTTCATCTGTCACCACCAACTGGACCAAAATATTTTCATTGTTGTTCACTGTAGCTCGCTACTCCTAGCCGTTGTCGTGAAACTGGAGGCGCTATACCTCCAACGTCAACGTTACTCGGCTGCCGTCGTTACGGCAGAGGGAGGAGTGATATTTAGTTCAGGGGGTTGTGAAGCGCCGGAACCAAAGAAACCACAACGGTTTATCTTCAAAGCACAGAAACAAAATACACCATTGCTAGTCCCATGAGGTCTTCTTGGTTACGGCATTGAGAAGTGTCTGGTTTCGAGACTCGTCTACGAATCACCTTTTTTATGTCCTTCCATCTTCTTCGCCACGTTGCAAACCCTGCGGAAGTCATTTCTTAGGATTGGGAAGAAAAGTTAACACTAGGTTACGCCTTGTTATCGAGGTTTGGTGGGAAAAGGACTTGGGGGAAAGTTGATTAAAAAGAACCGCTGGCGAAAATGGTTGCAAACGGACATTTTTTTGCGGGCGTCGGCGATGTCCTGGATGGGAAGAACTATGAGCATGGGGTGCAGGTGGTAGATGAGGAAAAGGAGTTCAAGTACGTCTTTTTACTTGTAAACTTTTGTTTGCTTGGGTTATCCCAAAGGCTATTCTATACTAACAAGTCGTGTGCGATCACAGTCCAAATCTATCCAACTATCTCACCTACGAAAATGTCACTCCGGCAGGATTTAACTACCACCTCATCTCCGTCTTTGGATCTCAGTCAACTGGCAAATCCACGTTGCTGAACAGCCTCTTTGGGACCCATTTCAGTGTGATGTCGGAGACGGAACGACGGCAGACAACAAAGGGAATCTGGCTGTCCAAAAACAAAGGACTCAAATCCGACAAAGGGCAGGATAATCAGACCAAGATGGCAGATAATATCCTTGTTATGGATGTTGAGGGAACAGATGGCAGAGAGAGGGGAGAAGATCAAGATTTTGAACGGAAAAGCGCTCTGTTTGCCCTGGCCACCAGTGAGGTCCTTATTGTCAATATCTGGGAACACCAAGTTGGCCTATATCAAGGGGCCAATATGGGATTGTTAAAAACGGTTTTTGAGGTCAATCTAGAGCTATTTTTGAAAGATAAGAGGTGCATTGAACTCCTCTCTCATTTCAGTTTCGACTAGCCCATGCATGCGTTTTTCGTAGTTGATTGAACTGACACGGTATTCAACAGATCAAATCCTCGATCTCTCCTCTTCTTCGTCATTCGCGATTTTCTAGGAACTACTCCGCTTCAGAATCTACAAAACACTTTACTACAAGACCTTAACCGGATATGGAACTCTCTCTCGAAACCTGCTGGTTTGGAGAATTCCTCTATTACCGACTACTTTGATTTCGCATTCGCTGGGCTTCCTCATAAGAATTTCCAACCTGAAAAATTCGTTGATGAGGTACAGAAACTTAGCACTCGATTCTGCGATGGCCATCGCGACCCCAACAAAACCGATGCAAAAGGAACCGGTTCGATAGAAGGAGGCATATTCCTTCCTGAATACCACCGAAGAATCCCTGCAGATGGTTTTGCTGTGTATGCAGAAGGTATTTGGGATCAGATTGTGAACAACAAGGATTTAGATCTGCCTACTCAACAAGAGCTACTTGCTCAGTTCCGTTGCGACGAGATTTCGCGTGAAGTCTTAGTTGCGTTTGATGAGGCCATAAGCCCATTCGAAGCGAAGCAAGCTGAAGCCGTTCAGGCGGGTAACCCTCAGGTTCTTGGTGGGTTGGGTTCAGCTATGCGTAATGCGCGTATGAAGAGCGTGAAAAATTTTGACACGGAGGCCAGTCGGTACCACAAGCGTGTCTATCAAATGAAAAAGTCGGAGCTCCAAGACAAGATTGACTTCCGGTTGAAAGCGCTTTTCCTCGGTCAGCTTAGCGCAGCGCATAGGTCCGGCATACAAGAATTCACCGAGTCAGTCACTGCTGCAGTCAAAGCCGGCCAGAAAAGAGGTGCCAGCTACGATTTTGCCGAAATAGTGAAGAAGGAGAGGAAACTAGCGATTGAAAAATTTGAACAGGAAGCTCGAGCTACGGTTGTTGAGGACACGCAGTGGAGCAATTACCAACAAGAGTTGTCGTTATACCAAAAAGACCTAGAAATAATCGGTGGACAGCTCCGGAGAGATGAAATGCGACGGTTGGCAACGAGAGTTGAGCGATGGGTGAGGTCACGACTAGGGGAATCCATTGATCTAGAGTTTAATGCTATTGGGTCAGGGAGGAGTGGCTCTGGTGCACCGGAATTTGGTGACAAACCTTCCGAGAAAAGCCTTTGGGATCGAGTGTGGACTCTCTTTATAGACATCGTTCTTGATGCTGAACGGAGATTCACGGAGCGAGCCAGCAGCTTCGACGCCAGCATAGACGAAGTAGATGTCGGCCTGTGGAGATTAAGAAGGAAATCTTGGGGGGTTCTACGTGCCAAAATCGATGAAGAGATGATGGAAGGCAACATACTCTTAAAACTGCGCGAGAACTTCGAGGATAAGTTTCGATACGATGACGCTGGCGTTCCTAGAATCTGGCGCCCTAATGATGACATCGAAAGTATTTATACGCGAGCAAGAGAATCAACACTCACTCTTATTCCTCTTCTCTCCCGCTTCCGTCTTTCAGAGACAAATGCACCTCCCCCACTGGACAAGTGGATTGGGCACACACCCAGCTCCGCGACACCAGCCGATGAAGAGGATCTCACACCAATTGGTGGTGTTGATGAAGATGAGGGCAAAAGTCTAGAGGAAGAAATGACCATGATCGGCGAAGCCAAAAAACAGGATTTAACAGTCCGGTTCAAGAAAACTGCGGACGGCGTTTATGTTGAAGCGAAGAGAAGTGCAATTGGAGGCATAACTCAGGTGCCACTATACTTTTATGGCTTGCTTCTTGCCCTTGGCTGGAATGAAATCGTAGCTGGTGAGTGCCTTTAATTATTTTTAGTACAATTCTGGTTATTTGTAAACACCTGGACTAACCCCATCCCTTCAAATCTAGTGCTCCGCAACCCTGCATACTTTCTTCTCCTCTTCGTGTGCGCTGTTACCGCATACGTCACCTATCAGTTAAACCTCTGGGGCCCTATTATCAAAATGACAGAGGCTGCATCTCAGCAGGCTTTGATGGAGGGGAAACGACGTCTCCGCGAATTTCTGGAGGCATCTGACACTGGACTCCAGACAATGGCTATGTCTGAGGGTAGAAATGCGGAAGGGTATGATATGTCGAACATGAAGAATCGGAAGTCTGCTGGAGGATACCAGAATAATAGATCCCATATCGATGATGCAGACGACGACGATGATTTTTAATTATAAGAAAACGCTTTAAAATGGCCTCATTTCATCTGCTTCGATCTCATGAATCATTTTACCCGCTTCCCTCAATGAAAGGAACTCTTGTATGTAATCGATACACTTTTGCCCATTTGGACATTATGCTGACGTCCCTTACTCCTGCTTGATTCTTTTTGGGGGTTGATTTAACGTCTCGAGTTCTGTATTTTGCTTCTGGTTTGATTCGTTTCTCTTTTTTGTTTAGTTTTAAGGCTGAGCGATTAGAATAACAATATCATTACAGAAACTTCTACTGTCTATTTTGATAGACCCCGGAAAATATTCCATTCTAATGAACAAATAGGATCCATCCAAACAACAACGCCGTCCGCTTGCACCAAATACCCTAAAACTAAATATCAAGCGCCATCCCAATCGAACGAGGTGCCGTCTCCTTAAAGCCATGTTTAACATATAACTTCCTACCCGGTGGATCAGCCAAGAGCGAAACCCACGCCCCTGGAGGCGCAACCTCTCTGATCCTCTCCAGCAGCCTCGCAAGAACTACATCTCCAAGTCCCTTTCGCTGGTGCTCCGCTGCCACCACCATATCTACGATATGAAAGTACCAGCCGCCATCACCAATGATCCTGCCCATCCCGACTGTGGTATTAGTCTCGGTGTGTACGACGCAACAACCGAACCAGCTGCCAGGGAGAGCCAGGATGGCCTGTTCTTCTGTCTTGTGGGATAGGTTTGGCGTTCTGCGGAGGCCAAGGTATTCGGGGATGTTAGGGTAGCCATCGCGCAGGTGATAGTCAGGGTGGATGGGACGGGAGGGTGTGGGCGTAGGTTCCCCTGAGGAAGCCAGGTTTGCAGGGTCGGTGTTGAAGGACATCGTTAGTATTAATATCGGCGAAGAAAACGAAGGGATGTTTCTGTTGTTGTCGGCGGAGAATCACTCAATGACAGGGATGGATATCCTATTCACCTTTTCAAAAACAGGAGATGGCTTGTCAAATGAAACAATGAAGCGCTGGGGAAGATATGAGAAAGAAAAAAAAAAAAAAAAAAAAAAAAAAGAATAAAAGGGAGCATGCACGATTGTCATCTCATGTTAGCAAATATCCATGCCCCACACATCATAGACCATGACGCGAGCCGATACGACCTCAAAGCCGCCAATCCAAAATAAAACTAATGGTGATGTGCTTAGCCGATGTAACTTAACCACCAAGGTCCATAAGTGGGCTTAATCAAACCTCCAAGGGATGTCCTCCGTTCATGCAACAGGCGTAAACTATCTCAACAAAACGCCCAACTTGATATTATTGTCCTCATACACAAGAATTGATGTTGGACTCGTGGCCCTTGGGGCTTAAACATATTTTAAGCTTGATTTTAATTCCTATAGCGCAAAACCTTATTTGAACCTCCTTTTTCCCCTGATGCTTCCCAAACCTTGATTGAGAGATGTACGCACTAGAAACCGTGACTTCCCATGAGCAGCAATTCATTTAATTCATCTACGCTTCCGGCGGTTATTCCCCCAGAATTAATTGGTCCCCATACGACTGTGCTGATTGGTTTTCGGGAGGATGCCCAATTCTGCGTACGCTACAACGTCATGCGTCCCCGACTGCTTCCATGTTGTGCGACTGCTCTGATACAGCCATACACCTGTGTAAACACCCCAATTTACTGATTTCCGATATATTCGCTGCTTCATTGATGCAGCCATGCAATTATTTCGTGTACTTAAACATCCATTTTTTCCAGAACTATGTAATATCGCAAAGGCCAGGCGACTGGGCATGACGTACAATGGTTTACTTTATACTAAAACGGATGGAATTTTTGACTCGAACGTGGATTGCGGAAAGCAAAAGTATTTAGCTAAGTTGTTAACACTGCAGATCGGCAAATACATATATTCGCGTAACACATCCTGTACATACTCAATACAGCTCTTTTAACATGGCTCTACCCCTCTTTAACTTGTCACCTGAACAGGGAGAGGTTGTGACTCGATATCAGATTTATTACGAAGGTAATGGGTTATAACACGAGGGAAATGATAGAATGCTACCACTATCTTCCAGAAGCAGAACTCATAGGGAAGGTCGATGCCGATGTTTCAGAACGCCGTGCGACGATCATAGCGGGAAATCGCATTCAGCTCCGCCCGCAACGACATCGCCTCAGGCGTATGATCTATAAAACACGCCGACGACTCGAAGACGACTCCAGATCTCATTAATGACAGGAGCAGCGGGAATCATAATAATTTAACTACCTTGTGATATTTTGCTGTATCTTAGCTGATAGCAGAGCATTAAAGCCATGTCTTCTTCCTCATCCAAGGACGGGGGTCGAGCACATCGGAAGTCGGGATCTCATTCGCAGGGGCTTGTAATACCCAAGTTCACGCCTGGAAGCCCAAGGCAGTACCCAAGATGTCAACAAAGATGGTATATATTTGTCGGAGTACTTGCTATGCTTGCAGTCACATTGGCAGACAACACTGGACGCCCTTCGCGCCTCTACGAACGCTCTATGGATCCCTCAGATTTTTTGAAAAGGGCGAATCGCATTCTGGAAACTTCGCCGATAATCGATGGGCACAACGATTTGCCCTATCTGATCCGCATAGAAACAAAGAACAAGATATATAGTGAGAGATTTACGTTTGAATCTGGTCTTCTGAGCCATACGGATCTCAAGAAGCTGCGGGCGGGAAAAGTTGGAGGTCAGTTCTGGAGCGTGTATGCGGAGTGTCCCGAAGATAGCAAAACGCAGATTGATGATCCAACGGTACGTTATCTATGTTGTATAATTTATCCCAGAGGAAAATTGGGAATATGCTGATTCGCATGCAGTGGACTATCAGAGACACATTAGAGCAAATCGATATCGCACAGCGACTAGCAGAAAAATATTCCGATGACCTCCAACTTTGCAGAAACGTAGCTTGTGCTCGGCGAACATTCAGGAGCGGAAAGATTGCCAGCTTTATGGGCATGGAGGTAAGCAAGAAAATAACATAGAATCTCACGGTTATATCGTTAGACTAAAGTTTTCACCTAGGGAGGACACCAACTTGGGAACTCTCTTGGCGTTCTTCGACAAATGTACGATCTAGGGGTCCGTTATGTCACAATAACCCATAACTGTGACAATGCTTTTGGGACAGCAGCATCAACTGTTGCCGCTGGTGGCGAGGATAAAGGGCTGACCCAATTCGGAAGCGAATTTGTGCGAGAGATGAATCGCCTGGGCATGCTGATTGACCTCTCTCACGCATCTATTAAGCTGATGGCCGACGTACTGGCAGAGACTAAAGCACCTGTCATTTTTTCTCATTCATCGGCCTATGCTCTCTCAAAACATGTCAGAAATGTGCCAGATGACATCTTGCGCCGTGTGGCCAAGAATGGTGGTATTGTCATGGTGACTTTTGTCCCCATGTTCCTCGATGTCAAGAATCCGTCTTCAGTAGATATTCACAAGGCGGCTGATCACATTTTCCATGTGGCGGAACTCTCAGGCTGGGACCACGTTGGAGTGGGCTCTGATTTTGACGGAATGGGCGATGTTCCTATTGGCCTTGAGGTATGAAAATGGCCTCGTTCTGTTCTTTCCCCAGTCCGGACCAATTTCATCCCGTACTGACTAGGGTATCCAATTCAACAGAATGTATCCAAATTTCCGCCGCTTGTCAAGATCCTTCTCGAACGCGGTGCAACAGAAGAACAGGTTCGAAAGTTTGCAGGGGAAAATATCCTCAGAGTATTGTCTGAGGTAGAGATCTATTCCAAGACCCTGGAGTCTGCGGGAGTAAACCCAAATGAGGAGACATGGTCAGGTCGGAAATGGACGAGGGTAGATCTCCCCTTTCCACTTATGTTCAATGATAGCATAGGCAATCGAATTCCGGGCAAAACATATCCATAAGAAAATGCTTTTGAACCCCGGTTCGCATAACCCAAAAATAAGCTTAAACCATGCGAGCACTGTTATTCTAAGGGGTTAACCAAGGGAAATGCCTGTGGCCGGGTGCTTCAATAAACACAATCATTAAGCAGAAGACCCACTGGTCCCCGCAGAGCCGGCGGAAAGAAATAGGGAAGTATTTTGCCCTGACGAAGCGCCATGGGAAATGTTTGCAAGGGCTCGAGTGATTTTTCATGGGATATCTCATGTGAGGTGGAAGGCAGCCTTTGGAACCTCGGTTCAAAGTCACATGCTCAGTGCAGATCTCGCTCTCCCATTGAGTTATTTCAACCTACCACCGCGGCACTCTGGGTGTTGTCCTTGACTTTTTTATCTTTTATGCTCGTCTTCTTAAAAAAAAAAAAAAAAATTGTGTTAAACTGGCATGTGGTATGGGTTCAAAACATTTATTTATTCTTCTTAGTCTTTTCTTTAGTCTTCATCTTTGGTTTTGAACATATTTTCCCTTCACATCCTCCCTCCTTATTCCTTGTTGTTCATCAAAGAGACTTTGATATCGAGATCATTGGTGCCCTTCCAAGTATTTGAATTTACCCTCCAGTTGCATCTGTCTGTCTTAGAGCAGATCAAGTTCTTCGATTAAATATCCACAGTTCTTGTTTTCTCTGTCAGAAAAAAAGATAGTGGAATAGCAGGTAAGAGAGACTAAAACTAATGCAGGACTAGTTCGCCCGAAGGGTTTCAGCTAATCGACGTTATGTGCAGGGCTAGATAAGCTGGCATAAAGACAGAAGGTAGACATGGCTTATCCTTCAAGCCTCACCGGAGCCCTGAAGGCAAATGTTATATTCGGTTCGTTGAGGCGGCAGCTGTCATGGAAAAACTTGGCTTTACTGCTTGCTCTGCTGAATCTCAAGTCTTTACCTCTTGTGTGGCATGTATGAACAACCTTTTTCTTCCTTATTTGTCTCTTCCTTAGTGGCTTGCTTGGATTAACTATCTTTTGGTTCAATAATCCCTTTCGATAACTATGCTTTTGATGCATGCACTAGATAAGGATTGTCATGACTTCTGCTGAACTTGACCATATCAGAGTTGTGATTTAAGACTGCTGAATCTAAAACAAGCATCTGATTTACTCAATGTATAGGCACGCGTTTTCTTTCACCTCTTAAAGAGAATCAATTTCCACCGCCATAGCCATCCCAAGCTCGTGGAGATATTCCACAAGAAGAGGGGCCATGTGGGGCACCATCCCCTCTTTACCCCTGTCACCATTGCAACTCATACACCACTCCTCGAAATGGATTACAACATGCATAAGTCCAACAGCACATACTTTTCAGACCTTGACATTGCTCGCACAGCCTTGGTCACAAATCTAGTCACTCCCGGTATGGAACTCTACCGACGTGAGCTCGAGAAAGAAGTTGATAGCAATGGGAAAAAGAAGTACCCCGGCAGACTGGCCGTTATGCTCGGATCCGTCTACTGCAGTTTCAAAAAGGAAATTGCTCCTTATGAACGATATGACATGCAAAGTCGACTCTCTGGCTGGGACGATAAGTGGCTGTATGTTATTACCTACTTCCTCCGCCCCACAAAACGCACTGGAGAGAAAAAGACCATTCTCGCGATCGGGGTCAGCCAGTATGTCATCAAGAAAGGACGCTTGACTGTGAAACCGGCAAAAGTTTTCCAGGCTGGGGGATTGATGCCGGATCGCCCGGACGGCGCGGACTCGTCGAACGGCACGCCAAGTGGTTCTGGGATCCCATCGACAACTGACACTCCCGCGAACGGAGAAGCTATTTATGCTGGTGAAGGCCTAGATGAGAGCCTTGTTCGTGAAGTTATGACCCTCACAGACGGCACAGACCTGAGCCAAGCTGTCTTGGAAAATAAGAGGAGAGATAACGAGAACACCTGGGTTCAGGAGTGGACTTGGGAACGGATTGAGGAGCAGAGATTGAAGGGTCTAGATGTTGTCAAGGCGTTTATTGGACTTGATGCGAAGCTTCTCCAGGGAGCAGAGTTGTAGGGCTTCACAGACGTCATGAGTTATGCTGGTTTCTTTTTGGGATGTAGGGGTTTTCTTCTCTCATGAGGTTTGATGATTCTTCTGTGCCTACAGGATTGGTGTTGGGCTTTCTATTATTATTTCTTAGCTTGAGTGTTTGTGTTTGTCATTATCATTCATCTTCAATACCCCTTCTTGTTTACCCCATCAAACTATTTCACGTAAGAGTCCTTAATTCCTCTTTTTCTAGATTTTTATATCTCATATAGATGTTTCCAGTTACTTGTAAGCAACCCACCCAGCACCTAGGCTTTACTCCTCACACCCTCTGCGCCTAGATACCCAATTTGTTTTATGTTTTTTGATTGTGGAAGGAATTCAATACACATTCATTACACGGCCAACTTGCAGACCGCGAAACATACAATCACACAATTGATGAAGATTCCCGATGAAGTTCCCCGGTCATTCTGGGAGCCAAGTATGAAGAAGGGATGACATGGAAAGTCCTGCTCCGGGAGTCGAAGGAGATGACAATTGCCTCAAAACGGAGCAAGCAATCATGTCTCTTACTTCGGATATTTGCTGAACGTTTGATGAGCCAGGAGAAACAAGGGCAACCGATACGGGAAGAATAAGAGCGGCTCAAACACTGGATATATACAATTCAAATATGCGCCAGGCCATGCTTCAATGATAGGAAAAAACTAAGGAAACAAGAGAGGAGAAGACTGAGGGGGGAAAATATACATACGGAAATAACTTTACGGTAAACGTGTGGGACGAAAACAAAAACAACAAAAAAGAAAAAGAAAAAGAAAACAAACCGCCATTTCCATCCCAAATGTAACTGGTTTTACAAACAAAGGAAAACAAAAAAGATAACGAAGTATGTCGGAGTATGGTGGGTTGAGTTGAGAGTCGTCAGTATACGGGAGGTTATTTTTTTTTTTATTTTTTTTTTTTCATTCCTTTTCCGCCTGTTCTGCTCGGTCATGAGGATCGGTTTGCTGTCGTTGGTGAAACGAATGATGTTTTCGACATTTGGGCTGCTGGAAAGGGGATTGAAATGTCCTTCGAGCATCGTTGTTTGTTCCCGATAGGCCACAAAACCGTTCCGCGCTAACCGTCGGGCATGATATCCTGGACGGATTAGACCTGAGTAATTCCTCCAGCGTCCTGACAGAATAAAATGAAAGCCGGCTAATGCCCTGCAATCGAGAAATTCAGCGCGCAAAGAGTCAATCCTCCTTTTATATATTATATTATTTTATTTTTTTTTATTTCTCTGCGTTCGACTCCGCCTGCTTTCTAGCATCTCTCGCCTTCATCCTCTCTTCCTCAGCATCAACCATATCCTTCCACAATTCCTCCCCCTGATACCGCTCCTTCCGCCTCTTCTTCTTCTCCTCCTCTTTCGTCTTCGCCTGCTTCTCCTTCATCTTATCCAGCAACCCCCTCCCTTTTCGCTGATCACTAATCTCCATAGCAGCAGTGCCCGCCATGACGGCCACCGTCAGGCCCTGCGCATACACACGAGCCTGCACAATCTTCTGCCCCTTAGTCAAAGTGGGATTCCTGCTAACCAACATCCACGATGCTACCATACTAGCCACCCAAGACACGGTGATGAGCTTATATTTCTCCTTGCGGATGAAGTCCCACATGCGTTCTGTTGCGGACATGGATGCCAGCTCTTCCTGGCGCAGACGAGCCTCCCGCTCGCCGAGAAACTGATGTTCACTGTGCGTGGAGGCTTCATAGGAGCGGGAGGCGTGGTCAGCAGCAATGATGCCGACGAAGGTGCCGGAGGATGTGACGAGGAAGGCTTTCATGGGCAGAGTAAGGTTCTGGATGGTTGGGAAACGCTTGGATGCGGCCAGGACGGCGGCAGCACCTCCTATGAGACCGGTGACGGTGCCTAGGGTGCCACCTCGAAGGACGGCGCTGTTGTTTTGGGCGGGGTTAATTATGAACTGCCGACTTTACATGAGATATCGGGAGGGATCGGGTGTACCTGTAATGAGCATTCTCCTCTTCCTTTGTGAGAAGCTTCATGATGATGAATTGTTTGCGATGATTTTTGTGGGCAAAATGTTAAAGACAGATTTCGCTGTCTTTCAGGGAGGAAAAGGAACAAAGGAGGATTTAGGGGAATACCGCAGTCAGTCCGATGCCGTAAAATTGTCCGCCACTGGTGGTATTGGACAAGGTTGGTGTTGTTCCGCGCGGTGGTTGAACCAAGTTGTTTATTTATGTTAAATGACAAAAAGCAGAAGTTGAAATTAGGTAATAACGAGAGCTAAAAACGTGATCTTCGCCCAAGTAAAATATTTGAGGGCGAGGGTTGGTAAATCGAGATGGTTTTTGACTGCGGTTACATTTATTGCGGGTGGTTGAGCTTGTTATATAGTTAGCCTTTCGGGATTTGAGATCCCTACGAAAAGTCTGTCGGGCTATGTGACTTGTTTTTCTGCGGGAATTCCCTACTCCGGGAGGTACCTCCTGCTAAGTGGGTGCATTTCCGAGTTCTCCGCGGGTGTTTTGCCCCAGCTACTTTATCAACGTCATATTTGCAGCGACGAGCGCAAGGCAGGGAATGATTTGGAATTCAACATCGATTGTTGATTGGATGTAGAGTGTTTTGATTGTTGCTGATTGTAATATGTTAACTACGGCGGCTACAACAAAACAGCGAAGGGGGAGGGTTCACTGTTGATTTGCCGAAGAGTTATTATAACTTAGTTACTTCTATCTCCCCGTTCAAAGAATATATATCGGACTCCGCTTGTTCTCGACTGTCGATATGCCAGTCGAATATTGCCCGCAACGCCACCAAACCTCTGATTTCAACAGAAAAAATGATAAAGAAAATAGAGACCGGTGGTAAAGGTACATATTGAAGGTGGGAAAAAAATATGGGCGAAGTAAAATAAAATAAAGGCGCAAAGGAAAAGAAAATACACAAAAGTGTAAAAAAAAAAAAAAAAAAGAGAAGACTTAATAAAAAGGCTTAAAAGACCCCATGCACCAGTTCCAGTTCACAGCTCGAACGAGCAGAGAACCCAACGTTTCCTTAGCTAATTTCTTAGGAGCTCCTCAAATTCTTGTCTATTCATCACCTCTTCGACGCCTTTGCCGCTGCCGCCTGTCTCGCTTTCATCCGTCTGAAACGATCCTCTCCACTGGAACCCAGCGGACGAGCAAATTTACTCTCTTGGACCATAGTCGAACGCGGGACGATAGTGTAGGAGGTATGTCCCCCTTCAGCACGCGCGCGATTAGCCAGACGGGGGGGTAGAAGCTCTCGCGCACGGGCCTCTGCAGCAGTAGCCTGGACCGATATTCCCTGGTTGCGAGCAGCAAGTTGACTACAAGAGTATCAGTGAGATGAAAACTCATGTTTGGGAATAGAATATACCAGTGAGGAAAAGTGGGATCGTGTGATGAGGGTAGATCTTGTAACGTACCTAGGATCGAAATCGGCTTCTTCGTAGACTCGCTTAGAATAGTCATCACTCCGTTGCAAAATGGGTCGAGTCCATTCTGCGAGAAGGCGTTCTGCTTGGCGTTTAATCCCAACCTCTGGCTGCTTGCTCTTGGTGTAAAACACAATGACTTTGCCAATACCACTTGCTATGAGCGTCTCTTTGTTGATGGGGAGTCTCCCCAATGCCGCAAAGAGATCGCGCTGGATATTGTATGCTGGCAGGGAGCCGTCGTCCAACGGTTCGAGGAAGAATTTCACAGCTTCCAGAAGATTGATTTCGGGATCAACAAGGCTGTTGATATACTGGTTGCGGTTAAGGAGTGAAACAACTTCCGGAAGCATCTTCAGTTTGTGCATGGCCGGTCGGTTCTCTTTTCGAGCTATACTGTCCAGTCTCGCAGCATCCGTCATGCGTCGTCGCACATCTTCGATTTCTGCATCAGCCAGGTCGGCCAGATCCTGTAGGAAAATTAGCAATTTTTCCTCTTTTTATTCTTAACATCTCCATCTCTGTCGAAGGTGTAGTTTGACATACAATCCCATCTGCTCTCCGATGGCGACGTTTGGTTGGTTTCTTAAGCTGCTCGTCCATCATACGATCAAGGGCACGTCGACGGCCTGTTAAGAATAAGGGGTAGTAAAGCTCCTCAGTCAGCACTAAATCTCCAATCACAGCCTCCCATCCAAGTATATAAGAAGAAATACATACGCGTAGCAGGGTCCAACTCTTCCTCATTAACCTCCTCCTCAACCTTCCTACTCCTCCTCTCACCCCCTTCCCTCCGCTTCCTGGCCCGTTTCCCTTCAGCCTCCTCCCCACCACTAAACCTATCATCGTTATCCTGTTTCCGACGAATCTTCTTCTCCCTCCGCCCCTCCTTTCTTTTCTTTTTTCGCGCCTCCTCCTCATCTTCATTGCGGGCGCGCTTATGTCGTCCGATAAGTTTTAAGTTCTCCTCATCTATCGCAATAGCAGGGCGTTCGTCGATGGAGACATTAGCTGCGTCAAAGTCTTCGAACTGCGCATCGTCAACGTCTGAAAGGAGAGACTCGTCGTCTGACAGGTCTACGTCTGGGACGTTTTGGGAGTCTTCATTCTCCTTGTCCACGACGGGGGACTCTGTGGCAGGCTCAGGTGAGGCAGACATGCTGGCAGCTCACGCCGAAGCAGGCCTGTGCGATTTGATAGCAAGAGAGTGTATTTTGAAGACTGTTACGTTCGTTCGAAGTTCAGTTTGTCGAGGCTTTGTCGGGTAGGGGAAAGAAAACTTTTGTAAGTAAAAAAAGGTAAAGAGAGGAAAAGGCGGGGTATACAGGAGGTTGGGTAAAGGGAAGAGTAGTCCGCTGAGATAGATTAGAAGCTGTGAATGTAAGAAAAGGGGTGAGTTGAAAGTGAATGGATATCAAGATGTGTCTGGTGGCGGGTCTTGGGGGAGTTCAGCGATGGAGAGTCCGATTTTATTTAGTTATGTATTTAGTTCACACGGCTGAGGGAAAGTGGCCCGTGCGCTGCAGCAAAATATCTATCCATAGAATTATTTAAAACATCTGCGATTTATCCGTTACCATCATACCTACAGTTAGATATTTATTTCCACTCTCCTCACTCTGCAATTCTATCCTTCAAGTCTGAAAGGGTGCTTCGCAATCGAGCCTTTTTTTTTTTTGTACTTGATCTTAAATATCTTATAACCCCATTACGGAGTCCCAGTCTCTGCTCAACTATCCTTTAAACATGTTCATGCCAGGTGAGTTGAACAGATACTGCGCTCTGCTTACGCACCTTTGATGCCTTCACCTCTGCCGCATATATAACATGGAAACTATTCACTAACCGACAACGCTTTATACAGGACCCCCGCAGCTCTCAGAGGCTGAGGTCAAGGTCCGTTCTTTTTTCCCGGCTCAATTGCTACCCTGCCATCCCTTCCCCGATATCGAACCTGGAATATGACGAGCCCCAAGTTAATGAGCGATGTACCGCAAATCTATTGCTGACAACTAACTCATGGATCCTATACTGAATCTAGGCTGGAGAGAAGGAGGCGGCTCAAACAATAAAGGCGGTCATTACCGGCAGCATTCTGCTCTATCTCTGTAAGTTGGATAGGGCCGGCATGGTCCAATGTCCCATCTAGGACAAACTATTCTCTATAACTATTTTGAAGATAATAAGGCTGATGTTGAGTCTTCTTCCCTCAGCTCCGTTAGCGATCGATTTCGTTAAGCAACTTTTCTGAGTTATATATCTTCTACTTGGAAATTATGATACACGATGTTGGGTTGTACAATTTGCATTTGCATTTGGATATACGATCGGCAATGTATAAGTAGCAAAAAGACACCAGCAGTTGGAAAGGAGTAACACAACGAGGAGGCATTAGATTTTCCCCTTCGAATCATGAGTGCGGAGAGCATACTCCGAACATTTTGTGGGGAGGTTAATGAGATTTAAATAGTTTTGTGTGTATCCGTACTGTACAATAATAGCATCCAGCAAAGAATAAAAAAATATATTGAATTCATTAGGAAAAACTTCTTTCGCTTTTTGTTCTGAAACACTGCTGGTATTTCCGTTAGTGCCGTTTGATACCCCAAACTCGGAAAGAAAAGAAAGAGATGAAGAAAGCGTTTCGCGCAATTGGATGTTGATATTGAATGGGCAGCAAATCCAATTCAGTCTTAGATTCCACGTCGCCCAGCTCACGTCGAGGAACCGTGTAGTAGCTCAAAATCTTTCTGGGCGGCAGCAAGTTCCTTATTTAGATGTCGGATTTGTGAAGCATAGTCGTCCAGAATCTGGGCCTTTCGTTAGCCATAAAAATATATATATATATATAAAAATAAAAAATGAGAGAAGAAGGTAGAAAGTTAAGTTAGCAATCCTTTGGGGAACCTACTTTCTTCGCTGTTTTAAGAGCAGTCTCATCCAAACCATCATCCGCCTGCCGCGCAGCATCCTGACCAGTTCTCTCCATCTCCAATTGCAGGCGCTTTGATCGTTCCCGGATTGCCAGCATTCTAGCCCAGATCTCCTCGGCGCGGCCATTTAGGGATGGATCAAACACGGAGCGCTCCAGTTGACGAAGTTTCTTCTGTAACTCCTCCTCCGTTTCGTCCATGACGTACCCGCGGTTCCTCAATACTTGCGTTTTACCGGCAAGAGCAAGACATCTCTGACTAAGAACTATATGTTTTCGCCGGCAAGCTGCAATTTTAACAGAGATTTTTAGGTCGTGTCTGGATAGCAGCTCGGTGAGAGCGTTATTAATCTCATGAAGACGACTTTGCATCATCGTTAGGAAATCCTTCTGTTTCTGCGCCCGGTTTCCAAGCTCCCAGAATCCTTGGACGAGGACTGGGACGTATCCTGGACCGGGTCTCTTCCGTAGTGCGTCCTCCCATTTTGTTTCATCATCATTGGCGCCAGGTTGAAAAAAGGGCGCATTATCTTCCCCAACATTATTGTAGAGGTGGGTGCGAAACGGAGAGTTTCGACAAGTGGGCTGCCACTTATCCATCAAAATACTCATTTGCATTGGCACCGTGCGATGAACTAAATGAAAAGGTCAGATATGTATATAATACTTTCAGTGAGGATGAATACAAGTACATACCTCCAGTCATCCCTTGCCCCGGAGTCCATAAAGTAGGTCCAGTCTGCTGAGATTGTCCCAGCTGCGGTGGCGCCTGTTGTCCTCCAGCAGCGAGGGTTGCTCCAAAGGGCTGCTGTGGTTGTTGAATAGTTGATCCGAATCCCGAAAAGAAACCGCCACCCTGTTGTGCCTGTGGCTGCTGTAACTGCTGTGGCTGCTGAGTGTTCTGACCGAAGCCTGAAAAGAGGCCACTGCCTTGCTGCTGCTGCTGCTGCTGCTGAGATGGCTGCTGTTGAGCAGCAGAGCTGCCAAAAAGACTACCACTCTGAGGCTGTTGTTGCGTAGTCGAAGATCCAAGTCCGGAAAATAAACCACATCCTTGTTGCGGCTGCGTTTGAGTACCGGAGCCAAATCCAGAAAACAGCCCACCCGGATTTTGTTGACTTTGTTGCTGTGAACCGGCAAAGAGCCCGCTTGTTTGTTGCTGCGGTTCTTGCTGCTGTTGAGTGCTCGTCCCAAAAAGACTACTTGTCCCCTGTTGAGGTTGTTGTTCCTGCTGCTGCTGCTGCTCTAGAGAGCCAAACAAGCTTCCTTGAGGTTTCGGTTGTTGGCTGGTCTGCTGCTCTCCAAACAGACTCCCGGTCTGTTGAGGTTGGTTTGTCCCGAATGTTGATCCAAACAATCCCGTTGACTGGGGCTGCTGTGCAGACTGACCAAAGAGCGACATAATGACCGAGTGTGACCCAGGGAACAAACACAGGTGCTGCGATATTTTGAAGAAGCTCCCAGCGTCACACAGGTTGCGAGACCAAAGGGATAGAAATTTCAGGGAGCAAGTCGCATTCGGGTTGTAAACTTCAAAAGAACGGCTCGTATGATCATCTGGTAACGTTGAGCGCGTCGTGAAATAATATGAATCGAGAAATAGGACAACGAGATGCAGAGGGTCAACCGTGTCCAGCAGTTACCATAGTCAAAAAATCTCACCCTTCTAATTCCCGCTGTCGCCAAAAGGAAAGCTGGTTATCCGTGGATGGTTTGCCGGTTGATGATTGTTTTTCTTGAGCTGAGTTGAGCCTTACCACGTGACAAGTTGGTGCCCGAGTAACTAAGCTAAACCTAATCGGGGAATAATGGCAACCTCAAAATTCTCAGCCAATCAGATGCACGACAGACGCGTCGCGAAAGAGGAGACTCTCGTCTTGACGAACATTTGTAAAACACAGCGAAAAGCACCGAACAAAAACACTGTCCAGATATTGATATCAGAGGGGCATGCATTGATCAACTATGGCTCCTATTAATGGTAAAAGAGAAACACGAAATGACAAAAATCGACTTGAGGAGCGAGCTAAGCAATGGTTGACGAAAGGGGGAATTTTCCGCGAAGACTCCGATGACGAGCTTGGATATGAGGATCATCCGTGGGAATGGATATATGAGGCAGAGCCAACTGCAAGCAATGACTCTGATTTAAATGGTTCTGATGATGAGCTTGACTGCGTGTCACCTACAAAACGCAAATCCCCACGACGGCCACAAAGAAAAGCTGTGACTAAAAAAATCATAGGGGCAAAGATGGGGTCATTTGAGTGCAGGCTGGGCGAAGCCGTGTTGTTAAAATCACCAGAGCCTGGGAAGGATTGGGCAGGTATAATCTGCGAGTTTTTGGAAGAAAAGCAAAAAGAGGACGAAGACGAAGATGAAGACGAAGATGATGACGGTGTCCACGCTGGGCAGATGGTCAAAAGCGCCAATATCATGTGGTTTGCATCGCCCGACGAATTTATGTCAACGAAGAACAAGAAGCGCACTGATGCGCTGCCAAACGAACAGTACATAACCATAGATTTTAATGTTAATCCATTGACGTCAATAGATGGGAAAGCAATTGTCCTATCTAGAGGCGCTTTTGAACAGCGATATCCGAATGGGATCCCGCCCAAAGGCAAAACAGCACTGGCAGAGTATAACAAGTGTATCATTTGCCGAAGGGGGGTCAATCAGCTTCAAGGAAAATATACAGAGGAATTTTTATGGGAAGATATCTACAATGGGACTGAAGAAGGTGTGTTTCGACTCATCGATTTCATCAAGTCTGGTCTCAAGAGATCTCGAAAGAGAAAGGAGGTGGATGACGAAGTGAGTACTGTCCGGCTCCCTCTCTTTTATGTTTAAATTGGTATTAATGGCGTTGAATATAAAGTACGCAAATGTCAAGGAAGAAGTTGGAACGCCGAGCACCCCTAAAAAACGACAGAGAACTGTTTCCGTTGCAGGAACACCACAATCTCGACGACACCAAAAAGTTCTCTCCACCCCGACTCATAGAAGGTACATGATCGCATGGTTTATGTTAATACTATTATGCATTTTTATTCTAACGGCGCGTATAGGATTGTTGTCAAGAAAGCCGTGGAATTTACCCCATTAGGAACTCGGATCCTAGATACCTCTCATTTTACATCTTCCCCATATCGACAAGCACGCAACCTTCTGCACGTTTCAAGCGTCCCAACTTCCCTTCCTTGTCGGGACAACGAATTTAACACAGTATATAATTGTCTGCGCGTTGCTATCACCGACGGCACCGGAACGTGTATTTACATATCTGGCCCTCCTGGCACTGGGAAAACAGCCACAGTCCGAGAGGTTATAGCTCAACTTAATTCATCGGTACTCTCAGAAGAATTGGATGATTTCGTCTTTGTTGAGATTAACGGCATGAAGGTTACAGACCCACACCAGTCCTACTCCCTACTCTGGGAGGCTCTGAAGGGTGATCGAGTGTCACCCTCTCATGCACTCGACCTTCTGGAAAGGGAGTTTTCCCATCCGTCTCCTCGTCGAGTGCCATGTGTCGTTTTAATGGATGAGCTAGACCAGCTCGTTACTAAAAATCAATCTGTTATGTACAATTTTTTCAACTGGCCAGCGTTACGATACTCCCATCTGATTGTGTTAGCTGTAGCCAATACTATGGACTTGCCCGAAAGAACTCTCAGCAATAAGATATCAAGTCGCCTAGACCTGACACGAATTACATTTTCTGGTTACAAACACCAAGAACTAATGGAAATCATTGGATCTCGCCTTAGTAACGTGCCCGGAAACATTGTTGACCCAGACGCCGTGCAATTTGCGAGCCGGAAAGTAGCAGCAGTTAGTGGAGACGCACGACGTGCCCTGGATATATGTCGCAGAGCAGTGGAAATCGCAGAACAAGCCAGCGAAACAGCAGCAAAAGTAAAAATGAAAGCAATGCTCTCTAACCAAAACGGGATTGACATGGATGATATGGATACCAGCTGCCTTTCCCCATCACCAAGCAAAAGCGCATCACGCCGAAACCGTGCAGCAGGTAAACGCACCGCCTCTACAGCCACTGGCACTGGCAAGCTACCGCGAATCGCAAAAGATGAATCAGAACCCCTCCCGCGCGTCACCATCGCAACCATCAAACAGGCAATACAAGAAGCAACCTCCACCCCTCTACAACAGTCCCTACGCTGTCTCCCATTGGCAGGCAAAGTATTCCTCGCAGGCCTATTAGCCTGCATCCGCCGATCCGGCATCACGGAATCCACCTTCGGTGACATTCTCGATGAAGCAAAGCGGATAGCCGATGCAGCAGTCGCAGTCGCAGGCGCCACCAGCAACAACCTGAAGCAGTTTTTATTTCAGAAAGGAAGCGATGTGCGCAGATCGCGCGTCTGCGCGATGCGGTTTGCGGCGGTGGAATTGATGAATTTTGGTATTTTGGTGCTGGAGGGGGAGTTGGGGGCTAAGGGAGGTGGTTCTGGGATGGGATATACGTTGGGGGGATGGGATAGGAGTGGGAAGGTGAGGTTAAGGATTACGTCTGATGATGTGAGGGCTGCTTTTCGGGAGGATGTGGAGGCGAAGATGTTGGGGTTGGGTTTTGAGCAGTGAACAGATCTTACGGCTTTTCTCTACATAGCACGGGATAATAGAAATTGTACGGTAAGTTTGTGATGTATATGTTTACTGTATGCGATATTGTAAGTAAAGACGGAGCTAGTTATATGACTGTTCAACCTTTCGTGATAGATTTGTGCAGGATATGCATCTAGACCCTTGTACGATCCGCGCTCTCTTAGAAGAAGTTAAACCAGAGTTAACAAAACTTAGAATTTCTCTGAAATCGTATATCTCAACCACAAAAAGCTATCCGAATATTTTTCTTAACGCCAAAATAAATGCATGACTACAAAGTATTGTAATAAAGGCTCATTTTCGAAGAAAAAGAAAATATTCTAAGAAAAACTGCCTCTTAGTATTTCTGTCTCCCCAATGTCGGCTTCCAAACCAACGGATGTGTCTCCTCCGTAGCCTCATCATCCGGCTTCCAGATCTTGATAGTTTTATCCGCCTCCCCAACAAGCAACCGCAAGCCCGTACGGTCAAACGTAGCGGCCATAATACCAGCTTCAGCATCCAGCGAGCCAGGTTGAGCTGTCGTGTCCAGAGACTGGAATCGATGGCCCGTCTTCCAGTCCCAGAAACACATGGAGCCATTATCGCCCCCCGAAAATAATACGTTATCCTCATTCACCGCCAGGTTGTTCATGATAGCATTGTGCCCATCAAAATTTTGCATGAAGGCACCTTCGGGACATTTCCACTGTTTGATGCTTCCTGCGCTGGCGCTGGCAAACGTAAATTCCTTTGGATGGACTGCAAGGGCGCGAACGCCTTTCTTGTGGTGCGTAAGGACGTTCATGGTCTTGCCTGCGGCGAGATCCCATAGCCGTACAGTTGAGTCGAGGGAAGCGGTGATGACTTGTGGGTCGGCTTCTTGACATTTCAGATCTGACACGGTTGTTCTGTGTCCTGAAAGAACGTGGATGTTGCTTCGTGTTCGCATGTCCCAGACTCTTGCTACAGCATCTCGTCCTCCCGTTACAAGAACGTCCAAAGTAGGATGTAAATCGAGTGTGTAGACTCCACTTAGATGGCCGTGGTAGTGGCGGATGACCTTGTTCGTTTCTAGATCCCAGCATTTGACCATCTTATCCTCACCGCATGAGAAAAGATATGGATGTCGAGGAGAAACAGCCAACCCTCTCACAGTAGATATGTGGCCAGTGAGGGTCAATCGAAGGCTACCAGTTGCCAGATCCCAGATTTTGATCGTTCTATCTCCCGCACCACTTGCAAACCACTGATTATTAGGTTCCACCGTCAAACTGCGGACCCATCCCAAGTGTCCTGATATCACCCGCATAAGTTTCCAAGGCGCGTGCCATTCTGGTTTTGGCTGTTGAGACACCATTGGCCGCCGTACAAGGCTTGTAGGCATATTTCCTCCACTAGATTGTTGCGTGCCACCTGCTGGTGAAGATTTCACCAGGGCCGTTGAAGACGCAGCACCCTCCACTGTCCCAGTTCCAGTCGCAGCCCCATTCCTTCGTTTCGTTCTTCCCGCGACGGCTTTTGCCTGCTTTTCAGCAAGGGCGGGAGGGAGTGTTTGCACATCATAGTACTCTGTCTTCCGCCGATATGATACTCCTATGGACTCGCCAGGTTTCGTGAATCCTGACGGCAAAAAGTAATCTGCACCGAACAGATCGCGGGTCCGCTTTGCAGAATTTCGAACCATCTGATCAGGTGGAGGAGGGGCTGAAGTAGCCTCCATAGCTTTCGACAGCATCTTAGGACTCGATTAATATCTGTGATATCTGGTCAAGCGAGCGGAGGAATTGTTGGGCTGGAGAGTTGTTCTTTGACGCTTGCGCGTGCGTAGTGAGCGTGCGAAATTTTTAGGACAAATTCAAGTGCGCAGATTGAGGGAATCGGATAATGTATTATTTATTATTTCAGGGAGATAGAATATGGAGGAATCGTACAGCGTCATGGAGTGTCGGGGGTTGTTGGTAAGGTCGTTTTTGAAGAGTGTTTGATGATTGTCGGGTCTTCAATAATTAATTTGATTTCTCTTGGGCCGAGCTTGGGCCATTTCCTGACTAACCCGTTCCGCTCCCTCCCCGCAACAACCAAGTGGGCATTTGTTGTGCCCGCATATAACATCATTCAACCGCCAAAACAATATCTGGTATACCCGCTACATCTATTCTCTATAACACCATGGATCCTGATTACAAGGCCAAATACGCTATTCATGAGGCTGTCCGGCAAGGGCAGAGTATGTGATCTCTACCTTCAATTTACCAATTGCTATGTTGACAAGATCTAGCATCCGTTGTTGAGTCTCTTCTCCATGTGAGCTGCAAATATGTTCCTCCGCTGATACACAAATATGCCCCTTTTCCTAGCATATCTTCCAGAAAATCACAAGGCTAATTATTAAATCTCACGCAACTATCCAGGCAAATCCCAAACTAGCATTGCTAAAAGACCCCGATGGCCGTCTCCCCATCCACTGGGCGGTAGCATACAATCACCTTCCACTGGTTGAGCTGCTCATCGCAACCGACAAGTTTGATCCCGATGAAACGGTCCGTCACTCTACCTTTCGAAAGATTCGACAAAACTCCTTTAATAGGCGCATTTGCAAATGAGGACTAAATGGGAAACATTATATTAGGACGCATCTGGATGGACACCCCTCATGATCGCCGCGAGCTTAAAAAACGAAGAAGGAGACCCGATTATTGAACTCCTGCTCCGGAAAGAGGCTGATGTTAATATCAAGAGTACCGCTGGACAGGTTAGTCTATTCGAAGCTGGTTTCTCCAGACAATGCTATTGTTATTCTGTTCATATTCACAACTCTCACTAACTCTGATATTTCTCCCAATTAAATCACCAAATACAGAACGCCATCCACTTCGCAACCTCAAAAAACAATGTATCCACCGTCCGCCTACTGCTGTCGCACAAATGCAGCGCCAGAGCAAAGGATAGCCGTGGTCAGTTGGCCCTGCACCGCGCTGCCGCCATTGGATCAATTCCTATCTTAAATATGCTTATTGAAGAGGGCAAAAGCCCGCTGAATACGACGGACATAGATGGTGCGACTGCATTACATCATGCTGTTGCAGAGGGACATGCGGAGGCGGCTCTTGTGTTGCTGCGAGCTGGTGCGGAGGCAGATAAACGAGACAATAATGAAAAATTGGCGATTGAGCTGGCGCCTGACTCGAAGGTATTTGTTTCCCAATCTTTCCTTCGGATTTCCATAACTTGTCTAGTATGCTGAGGCTAATGTTTTGGGGGAGTACTTCTCTCTAGGTGCGGAAATATATACTTGAATGTGCCCAACGGGAAGGTATTGAGCTTTCCGTATAATATCTTGCACATACGGATGTTTTTACTATATATACATACAACCCCTTTAAAGGAAACGATTCCCCAGGCTGGTTTCATAATGTTTACAACTATAGAAGATTGCAATACTCCTCCTCTCTAACAATGTTTATGTCATGATGTGTCCACCTAATACTATTTATATGAATGTACATGTACTTCTAGATTTCTCATTCGAAAAGGGGTAAGGCGACACAGTTATTTCCACACCACAAGGAACGCGAGAGGTCCAGCCGCACTTCTTCAATGAATACACTAATAAATACACCCTTCTATATACATACATTTATAGAGACTAAAGGAAGGTATACAAGGGATAGTTCGCACTCCATCACCTGTATATTTGAAACCATAAAATTAAATATTATTCCCCCCCCCTCCTTTTCTCACTTCATAGTACTATCAACCAACTCTCTATAAATCTTCTTCAAATCCGCAATATCCGCCTTCAGCTCCTCAACCAACTCACTCTTCTCCCCCAACATCTCCAACGTAGTCTGATACCGCTGGTCAAGTTGCTCAACCGTGCTCTCCAGCTCCTGTATCCGCTGATCCCCCTTCCTCTTCTCTTCCACTTCCCGCATCAACTCCACAACTTCCTGTCGTGCCTCATCGCGCTGGGCCGTTAGTCGTGCTAACTCATCCTTGGAGGCGGCTCTTTCACTTTCCAGACGACGGATCGTGTTGCTCATGCGCTCAACTAGTTGCACAGACGGGCCAGCGGCGACGGTGGAGACGGAGATGAAATCGTTGATGCTGCGGAGATGGTGCGGGCTGGTTTCGTGCACTGATGGTGTGGCTGGGGTTCCCATGCTGTTGAAATAGTCTTCCGGTTCGCATGGGTGTGTGTGCGTGAGATCACCTGGTGTGATTGGCAATTCACGGGATGGTGGTTTATGGGATTGTGGGTTTGAATTTTGGGATGAGAAGGAGTTTTGGCGGGATGGGGTGGCGAGTTCGGAGAATGGGATTGGGAGAATTGAGGAGGATCTGTGGCTTGGGGCCCGGTCGGAAATAGGTCCCGTGGGTTCCAGGCCGATCATTGATTTCCGGTTGAAGGTGACGGGTGATCCGTTTCCGGGTTGTTGACGGAAAGTTGATGACGGCGGTCGGGCGAGCTCTTGCCATCTTGCTTTCTCCTCTTCAAGCCGTTGTGATAGGGTTAATTCAGCAACCTCCTTCTGCTTCGTGAGATCTTGTTTGGTGTTTAGAAGCTCGTTCTCTGTTTTCTCGAGTTTCTGCGTCAGACTTTGGATCTCCTGTTTTAACTCCTCGAGAGTCCTCTCCATATCTTGGATGACTACTCGGGAAGTTTCCAGCTCTCCTTCCACTCTCTTGGCTTTGAGGCTCTATTTAATTACGGTTAGTGGATTTGTTAATTAATGATCATGGGAGAGTTAAATGATCATACCCCTTCACGGACTTTCCTCCGCAAGTCCCCTTCTCTCCGGGTAATATCATCACGCTCCTTCTCGACAGTGGTTAGGCGTGCCAGCAGTGAACTTTTTATTCCCTGCCAATTCTCGCTGGCAACAGCGTACTGAGTTTGCAGAGTTTCAATCTGGCGAAGAAGCTTTGCATGGGCATCCCCGATAGCGCTTGACGAAACTTCCTCCGCCCGAGACCGTAGGCTCTCCATTTTG